AAAAAATATTTTTTGAAAATATGGGTACTAAAGTTATGTTTTTTTCAAATGGAACACCCTGTATATTTCATAAATCATATGATCTGTCTTATTATGAGCTTCTCAAAATATATATCACTCTATATTTGATTTTCACCATTTAACTAACAATATTTAAAATCTATCATTTTCTGCCATTAGTAGGCCCTGATAAATTATACAACGTAATAAAACAAAATTTTAAAAAAATACTGCAAATAGTCATACATTAAAATTCTATTTGGATTGATATATTTTACTCTTTTAAACATCTTTATTACCACTGAAACTGTGAAATATAATTTTCTTTTTTTAAACGGGATGGATTTGCAAAGTATGTCAAAGATAGACTAGTGTTATAAAATGTAGAAAAAAAATACCCTGTATATAGCCAAAGATTTTATACACGTGTAAGGGTTTTCGGACTTATATTTAGTGCAATTCCTCATGAAAGCACCAATTGAGGTAATATAAAATTTAACTGTAGGAATTGTAAGGTTTTACCAGAACCACCAGAAAGTAATAAAAATAAATAAAAAAAAGATAATCAGATAGTTAAGAAAATGTTAACTTAACTTTTTTAATGGAACCTCCTATATATTTCAAGTTTCTAGAAAGATCTTCCAATTTTAATTGCCTACCTATTTGATTTATTTCTGTATTTCAAAAAGTCCCCAAAATCAGAAATCGAGAACGGCGAACTGGGAATCGAGGAGGGCTATCAATATGCGCTCATTGGTCCTAATTCATTGATTTGAAAAAATAATAATTTAACAGTATTCTAATATTTCCATAGTTAAATGAGGGGGGAATGTTTCCCATCTTATTGAAAGAAATATATTTCAACGTAAAATTAGCATAAAGGAATATCTAAAATTGATACGATAGATTATTCTTACGTATGCCACGTATTCCAAGATTTACTAAATAGCCGTAGAGAGTTAAGTTTCTAATATATAAAGAATTTATTTGCGGCATCTAAAATAAAAACCAGAGACAGATACAGTATAAACTTTAATAATCTTTTAGTTTCTTTTATTATCAATCATGGCCTACTAATAAATATGATATTTTAATAAAAACTTTTAAATATTGCAGTAAATAGTGAAAATAAATATAGAGTGATATATATTTTTGAGAAGCTTATGGCAAGACAGATCATATGATTTATAAATATACAGGGTGTTCCATTTAAAAAAACATAACTTTAGTTCATATTTTCAAAAATATTTTTTTTGGTAGAAAAACAGACTACGGCACTGTATTCTACGTAAAAAGTTCTACAATAAACAGTTTTCACCTTCTCGATAGCTTTAACAATAACAGAGATACAGGAGGTGTCCCAAATTGCAAAATTTTCAAAAAGACCCTGTCGCTCGGAAACGAAGAGGGCTATGAAAATTTTGTTTACGGCATCTTCCGTTTGACAAAAAAGTGAGACAGGTTTGTGCAAACCGCGCCCTTCTATCTTCACTAATAACGGAGATACCGTATGATTTCAACCAAAATGGGACACCCTGTACATCTAAATGTCGCATGCGATACTTAAAATAGGGATAATCTGTTAACGAAATTATGAGACACGACATTTTTTCGATTATTGCATATTTATTATTTGCTATTTCATTGTATTTCGTTTCTTTTTCTTATCCAGTTAAGAAATACATAGCTAATAAATTAGGATTTACCAAATAGCTTGACCTATAGCTATATCTCTAAAAAATAAATGTACAAATATAAAAAATATTTCGAGATAACTAACAATCAAATTGCTCTGATACTAAACATTTCTCAATACATAAAATTATACATAAAAACACAATATTATTTTACATGTATTTATATGCCATAATAAGGTATCTGCCTCCGTGTTCGTATTAGATAAATTAAAGATACTATATAATTGACAAAAAAAACGGCGTCAAGTTGGCTAGAAATGACGATCGATGACATTCAACTACATATAAAAGAATAACTCCCGATCACGCTGTTTATTTTCGATCGTATGGCATGTTAAATAAGCAGAAAATTTGCAATAAACTTATAACCAACTAACTTACCAATATATTATGTTTTACTTTAAATTATACAGGGTGAGTCTTAAATAAGTGCACATATTTTCAGGGCTGGTAGATCTCAATAAAAGAAACATATTTTCTCTTTACCAAGTCCAAAATAACTTAGTTATTTCACTTTAAACGTTATTTTAACAAAAAAAAAATTGGCTTAAATTTTGAAAACCATGTGATCTTGTGTTTTTTTTCCTGTAAATTTAATCTGCTACCTGTGTTACCATCCAAAAGCATAGTAGTATCTCTAGTAGTATCAAGAAATATCATCTTTAACTAAAAACTAAATATTTCCCAAATTTTTTCAAAAAATTCCAAATCGCGCAAAAAACTTTCATAATCGTGTTTAAAATAAAAAAATAAAAATATTTGCACTCACTCTGTATATATACAGGGTGGCACCTCTCATACGCTGCGGAGGCTCCAAGGAGAACGACAGTTTATATTGAAATCAAATTTGTGAACATATGTAGGTTAATTCAGAGCACTTTTTAAAAATATAGAGCTACAGTTTTCCCCAAAAATGTTACATCTAGCATCTAGTTAATTTTTGTTACATAATTATAGGTTTATATCTGGTTTAAATTCTGTAATAATTAAAATATGTTTTAGACGTGTATCTTTTTTATTACCGTTGAGTATATTACTCTATAATCTTTAATTTTTGTTAAATTAAGAAAAGGTATATAACACAGCCGCCTAGATTTTTTTCAAATAATAAAGATCTACTGACGCAAAATCATAAAAATTAAAATATCTAGGAAAATATTTTACAACCTTAATAATATTTTGATTAAGATATTTAAATTACCCATTGAATACAAAATGAAAGATATAGTGGGTGTTCAATTTAAAATAAAGGAGTAACTTGCTTTTAAAAGTGACTAATATTCCATATTAATTTTATCTCACCCTTTATAACTTTTCGGGTCAAATTTTAATTTGGTTTAACACACAATGGTTACTGTAATTAAATATCAGGCTAGACATATATAAGGTCAAATAAAATTTAGGTAGCTATTATGAAAATTTAAAATTTACTCTTCATTTTCACAAAATGTGAAATATGTAAAAATAGATTTTAGGTATATGCTTCTTTAATAAAACTCACCTTTATTTTTTTCCTAGAATCCGAAAATCAATTAATATATAGGGTGTTCCATTAGAAAAAATACAACTATGATGTGTAACTTTTTTGGAGAAACCCTGTATAATTCTATATATTTTTATAAAATGCTTTCAGTTAACCTATATATGCTGCCAAAATTTCATTTCGATATAAACAACCGTTCTCGTTGGAGCTTCCGCGGCGTATGAGAGGCGCCACCCTGTACAGGGTTGATCAAATTCGACGCTTTTAAATGGAAACACCCTTTTCTATAGGAGATAGACAAAAACTAATATCGGTGTCTGGAGCTCAATTTTTGTCAAAAACATGATGGTGAAAACCGCATATCGATATCTGTTACCGTTTCGGAGTTACGGGGTGTTTTTCAAAAATATGCATTTTTAACAAATCACTGTAACTTTTTGCTATGGAAAATTTTGTATTTTTATGAAAACATTTCCAAAGCACCTTTTACGTAGAATTTAATGGTTTAAGTATAATTTTTTAAAATTAATAATTTAAGAATTATCAACAGAAAATTTGATTTTTATATAGGACACCCTGTATATTTTTAATTTATTGAAAAGAATTTAAAATTACCTTTCCAAAAATATAACACACTTGATATTTTGCTCGATTCCTCTTCGAGATATAGAGTATATAAAAATTCGCCCGCTTTAAATAAGTAGGCTTTGAACGGCACCGGCTGTAATGCAAAAAAATTCTAGCTGTGAGAATCAATTAAAACGAAAATAATATTTGCTATGAGAGATGCAGAATTTTATAATAATTTAAAATATATTTAACCAACATCAACACATTTAAACTATATCTAATTACAATAAAAATAAATAGCATTATGGACAGACGGGGCAGTTTTTGAACATTCCTCGCGGAATTCATTAACTCAGTGGGGGTGAAAGATACCCTTTCATAACTGCTAAGTATTTTTAATTCTTGTCTAGATTATACGGCAGAATAAGGAACCTCGACGGCCAACGGCTGGGATCTTGGTTAGCTATCCAATTATTCTTGAAATTGGCTGCAAAAATTTGCTAATAACTTCAGCGTTCAGAGGCGGTGCGTCGTCTTGCTGGAAAAATATGTTTTCGAGTTCCATTAAGTGCATATCATCAATAAGGGGTCCAAAGCCTACTAATTAAAAGTGGCAAACTTTAAAAAACTCTGTATTTCGAAGGAGATTATAACAAAATATCAAGTGTGCTATATTTTTGGAAAGGTAATTTTAAGTTCTTTTCAGTTAATTAAAAATATAGAGGGTGTCCCAAATAAAAAATCAATTTTTCTGTTGATTACTCTTAAATTATTAATGTTAAAAAAATTATACTTAAACCATTAAATTCTACGTAAAAAGGTGCTTTGGAAATGTTTTCATAGAAATACAAAATTTTCCATAACAAAAAAGTTACAACGATTTGTTAAAAATGCACATTTTTGACAAACACCCCGTAACTCCGAAACGGTAACAGATATTGATATGCGGTTTTCACCATCATATTTTTGATGAAAATTGAGCTCCAGACACCGATATTAGTTTTCGTCTATCTCCTATAGAAAAGGGTGTTTCCATTTAAAAGCGTCGAATTTGACCCACCCTGTACATTTTTTATGACATAAAAATTAATGATGTAATAAATATTTAATTTTATGCCTTTTCAAAAAATGAAACCATGCGTAAAAATCTGATATTAAAAAAAAATAGAGAAAAAATTAATTTTAATTAACATAAATTGGTAAATATACCTAGGCCACAGAAAAAGTATAATTTGATAAAACTAACTTACCAACAATGTCGAGAGCTCGCCATCTAGTCTTCCTCGCCCTTTTGCCCATTTTCCTTCAATCCACCCCCAAATTTGCTGATTTTTCTCTTATCGTCCGCCACTTTTTCAAATTATAGCATCATTTCTTTCGAAACAGTCTCTTAGTTAACCCGATGAATTAATTTATTAAAACAACCTTCGCAAAGTAAAATATAAATTAAACGTATACCGAAAAACAAGCCGGCTTTTTAAAATAAATTAGTTAATTCGAATATTTTATGAATTTTCAGTCGATAATGCTTTCCAAATGATTTTTCTCCTTTTCAAACGTCTTCTAGAATTTTCCGGCTTTTTTATTTCGATCTGTAAACAAGGTCTATCTTCTTTTCAAATTCTCTCTTATTTTCTTATTTATGTCCCGCGTCTTATTTGAAATCGCTCGTTAGAATATCACATTAAAAATCACATATCACCAGTTTCTGTATTGACGGTGGCCTATCTTTGGGGGATTTAGAGCAGCAGCAGCAACGACATGTTACGTAAGAGTCTTTTCAGTGAGAAACCAAGTAGTAACAAACGACAAACGACATTATCGACTGAAACGAAAGCGGCGAATGTCGGACACACTAACCTATCTATAGAGCGCCCGAACCGATATATTTCTGGCGATCGGGACTAGTCGGCCGCGGTCGGGAATCGTGTTGATCCTGCTGTGCCCGGTGGATGGCAGGAAGTTGGCGCAAAAAGAGACGCAGGATAATGCGGAAGGATCGCAGGCGGCGCTGTGCCGAGCGCTTTGGCGAAGGAGCGCTTTCGCTCAACGTACGCGAAATCGCGACCGTTAATTGCGCGAAATTGTGTAATTTTGTGATTGTTTTGCAGGAGGTCGAGGTTAAAAATGGAATCAGTTTTTGATTTTTTTATGTTCTAATTATCACACATTTTTATGAATATAGGCTTGGTGCATTTCAGCTGATTTCAACAAATTCCGACCGCAGCGCTTCAAAATATTTAGTTTTATTTTTATTTTTAGAATTTTCACAAATTATACTTCCTAACACTTTTAGAATAATTAAATAATACATTTTTCGTATACTCCCTGTAAAAAAACCGTGTAAATGTATACAGGGTGGTGATAATTTCGATGCCCAACATTGGCATCTCAGAAACTACGAGAGATACGAATTATTGGGTTAAATGGGACAAAAGTTGCGTAATTAGAAGTTTGACAAACACCAAGAATACCCCGGTATCTTGATTAGTTTCGGATTTATGTAAAAAAATACGTTTATTTTAAATGACAATATCTTCAGAACTATTGTACCGTATGATCGAAAAAAAATGGCGTCCAGTTGGCTGGGAAATGACGATCGATAACATTTCCCATATAAATTTACATATAAAATGACAGCGATCTTCATTTCATAGCCATCGTTGACGCCGTTTTTTCTCGATCATACGGTATCTATTGCAACGTAAATGTTTAACCCTTCTAGATTTCGCACAACAATCAAGTTTTTGTTTTCTTATGGTCGCCATTTTGAATTTTTATACTCTCAGATAGAGCGAAAAAAAGTCTATATGGTGGTATCTAATTTTTATTCATTACTATGTAAATTCACTAAAAAAATAGATTTTTTCAAAATTCGCCGAATATCAAGTCTGCCTAAGAAATCCAATTGACACCATGTCAGCAAGTTATTTTTTGTTTATTCTATTAAGTGTCAAATCTGGACGCACAAAAATTGAATAGTAGAGTTCAATACAGAACTTAAAATTTTCTTGTCAAGAATTCCAGCCCAGACGCTCAAAGAATAACTAAACTAAACGTTCTCAACCTAGTGTGAGTACATATCATTTGTCCCCTACCCCTCGTCAGAGGTTTTACTTTGTTCAAAGAATATATTACTGTGGTCTGGTTTCTCTAATTAAATGAGGATTTATTTTTTGCATAATAATGTGATTTTCTTTCTGTTAAATGTACCAGAATTTGTAAATAAAGATTTTCCGTCCATAATATTTTTCTAGAAAAAAGGAGGCCCTTGAACACTTTCCCGAAACCATTTGCAAAATTGTAATCTTCTCTCGTGATCACCAGTATGTAAAAAAATGTGAATTTAGTTGTCATTTTTATGTTTTTTTTTGATAATTTTCCCTACATAAGAATCACTTACACAACACTCTATACTAGATCACTTTAATACTAGAAGTTTCTGGATTTATTTCAATCTGAGCTGGCACATTAAAATCATTAAGCTTTTTAAAATATTGTTTCCTCTTGTTTCTTAAAGCTACCAGCAACTGCTAAATTTAATTAAATTAAATTATCCTGGGTGCCGGGCCACAGCGGCATCCAAGGCAACGAAAAAGCCGATGAGCTAGCTAGGCAGGGATCATAAGCATCCTATCTTGGACCAGAACCAGTACTGGGAATACCGAAATGTATGGCCCGTAGTGCACTAAAACTCTGGATCAGGGAAAAGCACAATGTCCATTGGAGAAACAGGCACAGCAAGGCTTTTATCCAAGGACCTAGCTCTAAAACCGCAAAAGAACTGCTAATGCTTAGCAGGAATAAAGTGCGGATTACAACAGGCCTCTTGACTGTCAAGTGTTACCTGAACAAGCTCAACCTGTATCAAGAAAGTCTTTGCTGCAGACTCTGCGATAAAGATCCTGAAACAGCGGAGCACATAATATGTCATTGCGAGGCTCTGGATCGCAAGCGACACTTTTCGTTTGGGAAAGCTAGGCTAGAACCGGAGGAACTATATGCTCCTATCCTATCGAGGACCTGCATAAGTTAGTGCAAGGCACAGGGATAGGAGAATGGGTGCAGATATAGAAGGGGGATAAACACAATAGGCCTCACAGGTCGCAGTGTTTCCGACAGAGGACGGCCCCTTGTTATGAAAAAAAAAACCGCTAAATTTCTTGAAATCCTTGCGAAAATAGTACGATGAGGCTGCGTCCTTTCAGGATACAATGTTCTATCACTTGCGCATAACCTAGCCATATCGGAAATTCTATTATTTTTAAGTAAACATCATACATATCTCGTGTTTCCTCACTTGTAAACATATTGTTGACTGTTAATACATTTTACACTATTTACTATAAATATTTGTGTCCAGATTTGACACTTAATAGAGTACCTAAACAAAAATTAACTTGCTGTCATATAAAGTGCCAATCGGATTTCCGGAATATTTTAAACAGGCAGACTTGATCTTTTGAGCGAATTTTTAAAAAATCTTATTTTTTAGTGAATTTACATAATAATGAAAATTAGATACCACCGTATAGATTATTTTTTGCTCTATCTAATAGTATAAAAATTCAAAATGGCGGCCATAAGTAAACAAAAACTTGACTACTGTTGTGCGAAATCTAGAATTAAGGCTTAGAAATTTTCTGAAAACGCCATTTAATTGGCCGAGGTCAAAAATATAAAAGTACCAACTTACGTTCCAATAGATACAATATTTCTGAAGCTATTGTCATTTAATATAAACGTATTATTTTTATTTTTTTGACATAAATCCTAAACTAATCAAGATACCGGGATTTTCTTCATAGGTGGTGTTTGTCAAACACCTATTACGCAACTTTTATCCCATTTAACCGAATTCGTATCTCTCGTAGTTTCTAAGATGCCAATGTTGAGCATCGAAATTGTCACCACCCTATATATTAGTTGTTTACGATATTTTCCCATGGTGGCAGCACCGGCGGAGAATGCACCAAGCCTATAGAATTGGTACTCTATAGGCTTGTGTGAAGCTATTGCTGCTTGTGGTCTAAGATCCTGCTGCAGGATTATTATTATTACGTTCATCGTTCATCGTATTTTTAATCAAAACCTAATTTTTACGTATATTTATGAATAGGAGAATATACTTTTAATACACTTATTTTTTATAGGTACCCTACTAGGGCGCCTATCATTTTATCATACTTTTCACATGGACGTGGCTATTCGTGGCTATTAAATTCAGTAAAAAAAACATTGAAGGTACAATTTAAAAATCAAAAGTTGATGTTCTCTCCGTTGAAACAGAAACTGACCCAGGGTCTATTTTTCATGTGGTCGGGCCCTAAGGCCAAGGAAAAATTTGAGCCCTCTTTTCGAATAAAATTCAAAAATTCAAGAAATTATGAATATTTTACAACCTTTAACGGGCCCCCAGACCACCGGGCCCAAGGCCAGGGCCTTATGAGCTTTATGGTAAAATAGGCCCTGAACTGACCGAAACCAAAAATGAATATGTCATCACTACTGATTTGTGTCATATACCTACTAACATACAAAATCTCGTTTTTTTTGTCTGAAAAAATAAAAAAGTTATAGAGGTGAGCTATATACTTTTAAAAAACACCGGGTATAGAAATTTCGTAATTACCTATACAGATCTTCCATGTTTGTTTGTAAATTTGCGTATTAAATACATGGGTATAAAATTAAAGATACTACAAATATCACAGAATATTTTAGACAGACATTTTTTAAACCTCTAATTTCATCGTCGTAGGGTTATCAAGATTCGGGGTCAGTAATGTTTAAGGAAAAATATTTTTGGAAAAATTGCTTTTCTAGTTTAGTGTATGTCCACGCTGGAATTTACCAAATGTAATTTATTATATTTTGACCTTATTTTTGTCACTCTTCCTAGTTGTATTCGATTAGTTTTATCTACAGTCTGCCTGATATTAATCGTTATTCGTTCACAAAAATCCAAACAGATACACATGGAGAAATAAAAGATTGCACTGAAAAAACAAAATATTTTTCAAATGATAATAATTGATTTTTTCGAACTTTATTTGTAAGAAAATAATCCACATATTAAAAGCTTTTTCTACAAACGTCAGTAAAAATGTAATTTTTAACGCATGCTGTCAATGCCTAAAATGTGACATTATGTCACTGATGGTAAAAGTCATTTACTTTTAGCACTGGTGCTTTTAGCTTCATATACCGTATCGTATATGATAAAAAAAACGACCTCAAAGACAACTGGGAAATGACAGTTGATAATTTTGGCGAAGTCAATCTATAGATTTACGTCATTTACTAAAAATTGACATAAAACTTGTCAAAAATGAACACTAATTATAGAAAGATTTAAAAAAAGGATAGAAAGTTCAGACAGACAAATATATTTCCAAAAAAATAATTTTCTTGAATTTTAGACACCCTTCTGTCAATACTCATTCTAGAACCTGCCTAAAAATAAACATTAGTAGGTCACAACTTGGTCTTTATAAGATGGCACATAAGCACCTTTGTCATAGATCGAAATCATTAATTTGTGATAATCGAAAAAAAAAATGGCGACCAGATGGCTGAGAAATGACATTTCCCATATAAATTTACATATAAAATGACAGCGATCTTCATTTCATAGCCATTGCTGACGCGGTTTTTTTTCGATCATACGATACCGTATACCGGGTGCGTCTCAAAAGTGGCTCACCCCTACAACTTTTTTATTTTTTCAATTAAAAAATCGAGATTTGGTATGTTTTAGTATATGACATAAATTAGGAATGATTGACGTATTCAATTGTTTTCTGTCATTTCCTGTTTTACCGGAAATGAATACAACTTTTGATTTTTAAATGGTACTCTCGGTATTGGTTTACTTATTCTATAGAATATGACATTTTAAATAGAATGGCATATATGTCAACTTTTGACATTTTTGCTTAAAACAAAATTTAATTTTAAATTCCAATCTAGAGTGTCATGGCTATGTTAAAAACACTAATTTTTAATCAAGGAGCCTTGGAAAATAGATTTAATCGTCTAATATTATTCGTGTCTTGTCCTGGCCGGTTAAAAGATGCCCAAATCGTATTTTTAGTCATATCTCAATTTTTTCAAATGGAACAAGGGTGGCTCATTAGCATATTTCGAAAAAGCATTTTTACGAATAATTTGGTACCATACACTTGGTATGTCGAGTGAAATTGTCGTTATGAATCGCATGTTGTAATTTAAAATAAACCATATTCAAAAATGTCAAAAGTTGACACATGATACGTCATTCTATTCAGAGTGTCATTTTCTATCGAATAAAGTAAAAAAATACTGAGGGTGCCATTATTAAAAATCAAAAGTTGTAGTGATTTCCGGTGAAACAGGCAGTGACAGAAAACAACTGAATACGTCAATCAATCCTAATTTATGTCATATTAATATACCAAATCTCGATTTTTATCTGAAAAAATAAAAAAAGTTATAGAGTGGGTGAGCCACTTTTAAAACGCACCCTGTACACATCAAAACTAGTCTTACTAAACAAGTCTTACTTTACAGATAACAGATACCTATATTTATAAATATAATTCAAAATATCAACCTAATGCCGTTTTTAACTGTATACCTACATTTTATACCGGGTAACGGGTATTAGTAATGTGTATGCTGGTTGTAATTAATATAAAGATAATCAATAATATAAGTAAATCCAGTCAACGGAATTCGATGATTTAGTTGAACATTTAATAAGAGGGGAATCTAGAGTGTCATTAGGAAACTAAGGGTTACTTATATACCGTATGATCGAAAAAAAACGGCGTCCAGTTGGCTTGGAAATGACGATCGATGACATTTCCCATATAATTTTACATATAAAATGACAGCGATCTTCATTTCATAGCCATCGTTGACGCCGTTTTTATTCGATCATACGGTATTATAAATATATTGAAGTGGAACCTCTTTACCCGCGATGGGAGTAAAAATTGACACACGAAATGAGAGGAAAAGTGGTAACGATCGGAGGTTACGACGGAGCATCGTAACTTGGGCCCTATGTGAGCTAGGGGGCTGAAACTCGGAATGTAGATGTTATAGGGTTACCACCTTTATCCAAAGTAAAAAAAGGACATTGGACAAGGGGGAGGGGTAAGCTATTGATTGTAAACCTCCGATTATAAATGGCTACTTTAAAATTTTGAAAAGCTCTTTTTAAGATCAAAATTCTTAAAAATAAAGCCTAAATTTGATAGTTTAATTTTAATCCCAAATGATTTTGAGATTAAACGGAAGTTTGAATTAATTCAACTCTGGTTAGTACGACATAAACCTAACATCTCTGCGTGTGCATCGGACAAAAACTACCCTAAGATTTGTTGGCATTTGGATTAGTATATCTTTTAGGTAAGTGCGCCGGTTATTCGATTTTGTTTTGATGATTAAAAAATTGCTTCTCCTATAGTACCTGAAGAAGCGGCAATAAAGTCGCGAAACATCCCAAAATACATAATTTTTCCTCTTGAGCCTTCCCAAATGCCCACGACTTTTTTCTACGTACTAACCTTGTATATATATTTTTATATATAAACAAGGGTACTAATTACTTCTCGAGAGTAGGAGGAGGATACTCCACAAATTTACTACTACTACTTTACCCCTAAATAGCTTTCAGGTGGTATTGTCTATTGTGGTATTGAAACGCAAATACGTTTAAATGAAATATACGACGGCCTCCCCATAACAGCAATGAGAGGACAAAGAGGATTTACTATGGATTTACGTCCCAGTATTGAAGAACAGAAAATCGAGTCTGAATGGTTTCAGGACATAAGTTCATCCTTGTTTAGTCAAACCTCCTACAACAAAAGGATAGACTTATGTAGGAAATGGATTGAAATTTTTGAAATTCTATAGCGGTACCCTCCGTATATTTTATCGAACGTATTTGTTGAAACGGCTTCAAGCTCCATGGTTTTCGAGCATGCTCCATATGGGCCAAGAAAACGCCCAAAATTACGGCAACCAAAATTACACCTACAATACCACCTGATTTTGACATTACACATATCTGTTTTGTTTACTATATGTTTACTATTCTTTAAAAGGCATTTTTAATGTTTAATCGTGAATAAAATTTATATCAAAACCTATCTAAAAGTTTTTTTTTATAATATATTGAAATATGTTAATTATTACCGGTTAGTCTTTTTTGGAATATATTCTTAAAGACTGAAAATGAATCTGGCTGATTCTGATAGTGATGATGAATTACCTCCAGGATGGGAAGAAAGGGTAAAGTAATACATTTCTGGGTATACCAATTACTGCTTAAATAATAAACAATATATGGCTACTATTTTAAATATAGTAGTAAATGATAATATATAGATCTTTACGAATTTAAAGTGACATTAAAATAATATTTTATAGGTAACAGCAGGAGGATATGTTTACTATGCCAATCATTTGACCAAAAATACCCAGTGGACTCATCCTAGAACAGGAAAGAAAAAGAAAGTTGCTGGCAATTTACCATTTGGTTGGGAAAGGTAAGAAATATAACTAAGGTATCTAGATAATATATGTATCTCTATCATGTTATTTTTATATTTCTGTATTTTAAAGGATAGTTACCCAAACAGGCCAAATAATTTATGTCAATCATGAAACTGAGCGGACCACTTATACCGATCCTAGGTTAGCATTTGCTGTAGAAGAAAAAGAACATGCTACCGACTTTAGACAACGATTTGATGCATCAAGTACTGCCTTGCAAGTAAGATTTTGCACTAAAATTAATAGTAACATATTGTGCAAGACACATGTGTTTCTTAATGTCCTTTAACAATTATAGATTTTACATGGAAGAGATTTGAGTGGCAAGGTTGCTGTTATTACTGGGGCTAATACAGGTATTGGTTTTGAAACAGCTAGATCATTGGCCAAACATGGATGTACTGTTATATTTGCCTGTAGAAATCTTGCTGCAGCTGAAGAAAGTATAGATAAGATTAGATCCGAAGAGAGACTTAATATTGCAGATAATTGCATTGCCATACATCTTGATCTTTCATCATTAGCCTCAGGTAAATCTTGTTATTTTTATATATTAATCTTAAAATACATATTAGGTAATTTCTTATAGTTGTCCAGTTTGGTAATACAATAAAAAGCCGATACCATAAGGTTGATATTATTATATTAAATGCAGGAGTTTTTGGATTGCCATATACAAAGACACTGGATGGTTTTGAAATGACTTTCCAAGTAAACCATTTATCTCACTTTTATCTGACACTTCTTCTAGAGCCATTATTTGTCCAGGGATCAAGAATTGTTATAGTTTCTTCAGAGTCTCATAGGTAAATAGACACATTTTTAGTTTTAGTAGATTTTTGGTACGTTCGAGTTTACCATTAAACTTATATTAATAATTTATTTTGTTTAGGTTTGCCAATTTAACATCTGCTAGTATAGATCCTTTAACACTGTCTCCAGAAACATGGCGCCATTACTGGAATATGACAGCCTATAACAATTCAAAGCTGTGTAACGTTTTGTTTGCTAGGCAGTTAGCAAAAAATTTACAGGGAAAAGGTGTATCTGTATTTAGGTGCGTAGTCATTTTTTGCATAAAAAAAGAGTAAAATATCAAAATAAAATTATACACATTTTAGAAATAAAAAAATTACATTTTAGATATACACTGTTCTTTTATGAATGATGGTGTTTTCTAAAATTCAGTTAATTTTTGTTAAGTAAATATAATTAGTAAAATTTACTCCATAAAATTAAATTTGAAGTAAAATGACAAATGGCAAATATTATGTATTTTTTGCTGGATAAACTATACTTAGAAGTTTTGAATATTTTAGTTTGCATCCAGGAAATATGGTATCAACAGGCTTAAGCAGGCATTGGTGGTTGTATAGGCTTCTTTTTGCTTTTGAAGTGCAAGCGACATCTGTGCAAGAGAAGCAAAACCTCCCAAAAAAGTTAGAAAAGGAATCTAAAAATTTCAGATTATTCAAACGTCACTCCAATATTTTTCCAAATTGGAGTGAAATTGGGGTGACAATTTTTAACACGTAAGGAGCCATCTGGATTATGTGTTATCTGTGATAATACTATCCAAGTGGTCATATACCGAATTGACATTATAGGTCTCCATTCTTGACCATTCCATAAAGACATTTTGTGGATTTGTTTGTTTTTATTGAGCTTATATTTTATGTTAGTTATTAATTATTCTCGCCTTGTTTGTGGAAGGAAATTGTGTTCTAACATAATTACCAAACCAAACCCAACCTAGTTCACTGTTAATTTAAGTTAGAGTTAGAACTTATTAGTTACACCTCATCACTGAGTGCGCCGCGCCGGGACGACAAATATTCGTGCCATAAACTTTGGTAGGTAGAACTGATATTGGAGATGGAGAACTAAACTCTGTAAAACCGTCTCAGATACTGATTTTTGTCAAAGCCTCGATACAAAGAAAGAGGGACACAATAGAACTGTAGAGCTGAGGCCGCAGTGCAAGCAAGTTACCTGGAGGGTAGTGGGTATCGAGGCGCCAAGCGACCCTCCAAGTAACCCGCGAGGTATGTTTCCGTAACATGCGACTTTAACCAAACCAGCCGCAGTGCAATCCCCCACCAACTTAAGCCACAAAGCAACTCGCCAAGCGAGCCACTTGAGGATCAGTCGTGTTCGATATTTTCAGCCAGTCGTAAAGTAGTTTTGGTCTAAAAATGGAAGAATAATTGTAATGCACAAGGGTTGTTCTTCAGAAATTGCTTCTCTGAAGTTTGTAGACGTCCTTTCTAATTTGTCTTGAACTTCATTAAGTAGAAAATCAAACGATTTTACACTCATACGTGCATAATTAAAAAAATTGTCAGGGTAATTTCGCATTTTCTTGTAAACTCGCAAAAATTCTCCATCATGGTCTCTATGCAAGTTATACTCATGCACCCACATCTTCTTATTTTCCATATTTACAAAGTTCTCATAAGAATTGTCACAGAGCAGAAGCCTTCTGGCAAGTTTTGAAAGGGGCATGATTCTAAAGACACTGACGGGAGCTACAATTTGCAACTGAACTTGATTAGATTGGTTATTGTTTTAATAATTTTCCGTCCACTACTGCGTACAAGGTATATATTTACCCTCTACCCATTAACCTTCACCCTCTACCTGACAAGCTCCCCTCCACCCCTCAATAGTGCGGGCATGACTTAAGGTCACGGTATCTGTAAACCCTCCTCCCATACATTCTACATCTGCCAAGAGGGTGTGAGGGCAAGCATATGCATAGTTATTACAGTTGAGGGTGTTACACCTTTGGTGTGACACAGCAAAATAAAACACTAAATTACCACAATACACCAAAACACTTTTACTTTTACACTGGACGCGCGTTTTGCTAACCATGTTAGCATCATCAGCAGATGATTATAAACTATATACAGGGTGGTCCGAACTGTATTCCGGAAACTTCGGCAGTATATTCTGCAGATAAAAATAAGTAAAAAAGTTCGTATAAATGTATGTCCTAAAATGCTTAGTTTCGGAGATACAGGGTGTAGAGGTTTCATTTTTATTTCGATTTTTTCCAAATAATTTCTGAAGTAATGTCAATATTTAGATCAAAATTGGTGTCTGGGAGTTTTGTGACACGAGAAACTTGATTTTGATGTGAAAATGACTCCTATTTGTAGGGGGCGCCACCTACATGTGTTTTAACTGTTTTGAAGAGTAATAACTTTTCGTCCGTACCTGTGTAAAACTACTGACTGAAAAAATATAAATTTCCATGACGTTTTACGTAAAAAATGTTTCTTGGTAAAAATCGTTGCGAGTAACAGTTCTCGAGATATTTAGAATGAAAATAGTCATTACATATCGTTATTGTCAAAAAATAAGCACACGTTGAGTATAGTTATTTGACTGAAATAATACATTTTTATTTTTCTAAATTAATCATAAATGTTTCTGCAAAAAAATTATGATTAAACAATTTCTGTTGAACTTTTGACACAAAAAGATTTCAAATTTATGATTTCAGTCTAATAACTATTTAGTCAACATGTTTAATTTATGTCAGTGATGACAGGTATTGATAATTTAGATTCTAAATATCTCGGGAACCATTACTCGTAGCGATTTTTACCAAGAGATCTTTTTTATGTAAAAAAGTCGTAAATGTACATTTTTTTACTCAGTAGTTTTATATAGGTATGGACGAAAAGTTATTAACTCTTCAAACCAGTTAAAAAATATGTTGGTGGCGCCCTCTACAAGTAGGAGTCATATTGACATGAAAATCAAATTTCTCATGTCAAAAAACTTCTAGACACCAATTGTCATTCAAATATTGACATTACTTCATAAATTATTTGGAAAAAATCTCGAAAAAAATCGAAATAAAAATGAAAATTCTACCCCCTGTATCTCCGAAACTAAGCATTTTAGGGTATATTTATACGAACTTTTTTACTTATTTTTATCTGCAGAATATGCTGCCGAAGTTTCCGGAATACAGTTCGGACCACCCTGTATATAAAGTTTATAATCATCTGCTGATGATGCTAATATGGTTAGCGAAACGCGCGTCCAGTGTAAAAGTAAAAGTGTTTTGCTGTATTGTGGTGATTTAGTGTTTTATTTTATTTTAGTAAGCATAGTATTGATACTAAAAGAATTTCGGACCATTTTATTTAGTTTACTTACACAACCTTTCAGTCAGAAGTATCACTAACCAATATCAAGTGAACTAATCTAAATCCTAACTACTGAGCTTATATATTAGTGCAGATCATTCACCCGTGAAAAAGTTGATAGTAGATAGAAGGCATGCGGAGTTGTCGGCATGCGGTTTTTACGCATGTTAGGTCTGATTAAAAGTAGGTATAGTATTAGTGAATTGGAAGTGTTGAAATTCTTAAGTTCTTTGTCCAGCCAACGCAGATAAAGACAGTGCCGAAATTAAAAGTCCTAATCTATTTCAACTGACTTCAGGAAGGAATTAAATTTAATTGAACAGGTGTACCGGAGAATGTGCAGCAGAATTACTATAAAAGTGATATTATAAAGATAACAACGCCAAGAAAAGGCACAAGAAAGATAGATATAGATAGATATCTTTTGAAGCGAAACTTCTTTACGCGCGATGGGAGTAAAAACCGTAGGCCGTGACACACGAGACGCGAGAGGAAAAGTGGTAACGATCGCAGGTTACGACGGAGCGTCGTAACTCGGGCCCTATACATACATTAGAATTAGAATGAGTGGGAGGGGGGTTAATCACTGCGACCTTACATATCTATTGTATCCCCCTTTCTTGAGTTATAACTCATCATACAGTTCCAGGGCTTTGACAAAAGCCAGTATCTGGGACGGTTTTATAGAGGGTAGTTCTCCATCTCCAATATCAGTCGTACCAAAGTTCATGGCACGAATCGTTGTCGTCTCGGCGCACTCAGTGATGAGGTGTACTGGTGTTTCCCCATTTTCCCCACAGAAATGCATTCGCCGTTTCTTCTTAGTTTCAATCTACTGAGGTGTTCATTGAGGAGACAGTGTCCTATTAAAAACCCCGTGACAATCCGAAGATTGTTCTTACTTAAACCCAGGAAGATCTGTGATTTTTCTTGATCGTAAGCCCACAGAAACTTCTTCGAGTGTCTTAGACTGTTGCAAGATTCCCATTCCAGGTTGCGGATAGAATCTTCCAAGTTCTTGAGTTCCGCCGTGAGTTGGTTACCACTTGGAAAGCAGAACGGTTCTGGTCCAGTTAGTGGAGTGTTCGCTCCTTTTCTAGCTAGATCATTTGCTTTTTCATAGGCTTCTATCCCTTGGTGAGCAGGCACCCAGAGGAGGAGGACTTTGTTTTCTTTGCCTTTTTCTTGAGTTCCCGTTTTAGCTGGTTTTCACTTAGGAAGCAGAACAGTTCTAGTCCAGTTAGTGCATTGTTCAATATTTTTCTAGCTAGATCATTACCTTCTATCCCTTAGTGAGCTGGCACCCAGAGTAGGAGAACTTTGCTTCCTTCGCCTAATTTTTTTCTCTATGTATTCTTTGACCAACTTCGAATTGATTGATACTGATTTGATCGCTTTTAACGCTGCTTGACTATCAGATAAGATGGCTATTTCTTGTTTCCGATAGTTTCGATACACATACATACATACATACATATACTGCCATTACTCGCTGACGAGTATTCGACATGCATCAAAAGATGATCACGCAAGGCGTTTTCTTTCATGAGCTTTTCTGTGACTGAAAAGCCCGATACGTGATGTTATTTGCTTACCGCACTCCGGACATTGAAAAATCTCATTGCTTTGTTGCCTCTTTACTTTTTGGTTGTCGCTGTTAACTGAGTTTACAATTCTTCTCCATTGAGTTCTATTGTAAATTGCTTCTTCCTAATGATTCCGCATGTTAATCCCTTTAAGTTTTCGTGGAAAATGTCCTTGTACCTTTTGAGTTGTCCACCCGGCCTCTTACCCTCTACAAGCTCACCGTAAAGCAGAGATTTTGGTATGCGGTTTTCTTGCATTCTGCATACGTGACCAGCCCATCATAAGCGGGATTTTGTAACCATGACTTCAATACTCTCGCAGTTAGCTTTTTCAAGGACCGATCCGTTTGAGACATGATGGAACCACCGGATTCTTAAGAGTTGTCTAAGGTGTCTCTGTTGCAACTTGTTTAATGCCTTCATGTGTCGGCGGTACGGCACCCACATTTCGCTCCCATATAGCAAGGTGGGATTATAATTGCTCTCGGTACACTGCCAGTTTCGTTTTTGTACTCAAGTCATGATTGTAGAAAACCCTGTCTTTTAATTTCCAGAATGCTCTCGAGACGCTGCTAATCCGGCGCTGAATTTCAGAGTCGATATTTGCCTTTTCCGAAATCAAACTGCCTATGTAATTAAATTCCGCTACATATTCCAATAGTTCCTCTCCGATTTTTACAGCATTGTTATGATCTTCTGGGGGAGTGCACATGATTTTGGTTTTGTCGATGTTTAGCTTAAGGCCCAAAGCCTCGTATGCCCAGGTATATGTGTTCAACATTTCTTGTAATTGTTGTACCGTGTTTGCAACTATAGCGCAGTCATCAGCGTATTGAAGTTCTGTGATGAATTTTGTACGTGTTTTTGCCCTCAGTCTTTTTATGTTGAACAGACCGCCGTCATATCTGTATCTAATGCCCAATCCTCTCTCCTGCAGTTTGCTGTTCACTATAATGGAGAGCGCTGCCAATATGTTGAATAGGAGAGGCGCTAAGACACATCCCTGCCTAACTCCCCGGGCCCTATATGAGCTAGGAGGCTGAAACTCGGAATGTAGATGGAGCTCGATGAGTCCAATCTTTTCATCATATTTTGACGAAGTTTTGTGCACTATGAAACTCCATCATCAATGGCCAAAAGATCGTCCGATTTAAGCTTCATTCTCACTATACATTCCGTTTCCATTCCATATTCGTTCTGTATTTTTATTGTATTGACGCATACGTAAGCTTCCGTTCCGTATCAGTTCCATACTTTTTATTGTACAATTTATATCATTACGAAAGTTTTATTTTAAAAATTTGCATCTTTGGAAAAAGGTAATAGATTTAATTAAGAGGCTAAAGAATAAATAAATATCAGCAAAATGTTAACAGAAGTGGTATAAATGTAAAGGTGCGCACTGACGACTCGTGTACTTGGCAAGTATTTTTTATTGGCCTACAGCATAGGTCTACAGGGCCAGCCAGGAGTGCGGCGTAGTTTGGTTTGGTTTTGTTTGGTTTGTTTGGTTCTCCTATAATAAATAACTTAGAAATTCTGTGTAGATGCCCGACGCACCATGTTATACCCTGTATACCAATTACAAATGTTTGTCAAGTACACGTGTCGTGAGAATGCGCCATAAGAACGTGACAACGCTGTTTCCGATTCGCTTCAGTCCGTCCGCCAAAAAAGTGTATTGAAGGAAAGGATATGGCAAGGGAAACGGAACGGATAGTGTGCATTGTCCTATTGATTTACATGATATAACATTTTACGTAAACCGAAGGGAGCTGTTACGGAAGGTATAGTGAGAATCAACTTTTAATGAGCGTCGTTACTCTAGGGGGCTAAAACTCGTAATGTAGATGGGGCTCGAAGAGTTCGAGATTACCCAGGTTCGAGATTAAACCATACCAAACACATGGTAATACACCAAAACACTTGAGATATTTTATCGAGACACTTGAGACGTAGGTACCTACAGATATTGTACACTATAAAATGTCTGAAGTGTTGGTATCTGTAGATATTGTGCAAATGTAATTGAATGATTAGTAGTAATAATGCATATTTTATTTTAAGGGATTTATTTTAACAACTGCTGTCCTTGCCAAGAGAGTGAGATGGCGAAAAACGATGAGATGGCTTTGCTTTTATGGAACACAAGCATTGACATGATACAAAGCGTTCTTGGAAATAATGCTCCAGGTTTAGAGGAAAAACGACTAGGTAACAAAATACTTTCTAGTAGTGCTCAAGGGTATTAAAACGAATATTATACAATGAAAAAGTATTAATGTGATTTTTTTAATTATGTAGTGTTAAGGTAAAAGAATATCATTTTTTGTATTTAAACAGATGTATGTATACATGTAAATAGAATAGATATTTTAATTTAAAGTTTTATTTATACCTCTTGAAAATACATTTTAGTAGTGATACATTTAGGGGATAAAAATAAAGCGGCATGTGACCTTGAAGGTAAAGAAACAACGAATATAATATTCGTTTCTTGAAAATGCTTCTGGCTTTTCCGCCACTAGAAGAAAATTGGCAAAATAAAAAAAAAATATTTTTTGTAAACACCACTGCGGTGATCCAATATAGACAATTTGTCCGTTGTATTTTACAAATAAAACAAGTTTGCCTAAACGACAAAAATGTTTAACATTTCAGGAGGTATATCTCCTGTCGCGTCGCCAGAAAAAAAACACAAGGAACAAAGAAAATAACTATTTAAGACAGTGGCGGATACAGAGGGGGGGCCATGGGACCCTCCTAAAACCTGTAAATTGTGTTAAATATTAGGCTTTTGGGTTAAAAATGGCGCCCTAAAAAGCATATTCTACATTACTTTTTATTTTGGCCCCCCCCCTAAAATAAATTCCTGTATCCGCCCCTGGTTTAAGATATCTAAATACCACTCTTCAGGAACGCTTATACCATAGACTTAAAATAAAATATAGACTGAGCATCTCATTCATAAATAGCTGGAACATGCGGTCAGACACTGTCTTGTTATTGTTGTGTTATTGTTTTAGGTTATAACGAGTGCGACACGAGCGATAGATAGGTTGTCTCTGTCGTAACGGTCGTTCCCTGACGACTCTGCCGAGAAAATTTAGTAGTATAAGGACTATTTAATACATCTATGGAATATTAAAACCTACTTTATTAAACTGTAGTATTAATATCTCAATATATGTTTATAACAAGAAAAAAAATATTGATAATATTAAAGACGTGACAACATAGGCTGGATGAGGAAGGCTCGGTCGACTGTACCCAGAAGTAAACATGTGTACAAAAGAGGTTGTTTGTCCGCGTTGAGATGTAAATAGTGTAGTCTATATTTTATTTTAAGTCTATGGCTTATACATACTTATGTCACCCGATGTAACCAGATATTATGTCAATAGGGAAATAATGTTAACATATTGGGTTCTGCCTTAGTACCACAGAAATATAACGGGTATATTATATACCGTGCCTTTCCCTATCAGGTGAGTTGATCGAATTGCGAAAATGATCGCAAACCGCATGTTTTTAAACGACTTTTTTTCGAAAGGATAACTAGATGAAATCATTAGATATGTTTCTGAGCATCTGAAATGGAATTATAAGGATATTGTTAGGGTGTCCATTTTTTTATAATGATAAAACGTCAGTAATTGCGATAATTTAAAAACTCAACATTTTAACACATAACGCGCCATAACTTAAGACTTTAGATATTGAAACTCTTTTTTTTGAAGGTCGGATCTTTTACAATATGTTTAAATAAGAAAAATTTGATAAGGTTGTTGTTTTCCATTCAAAAATTTTACAAATTAACAAAAATTTACAAATTAACATTTTACAATTCAACCCATCCATTTAATTTTAGTGCATAACAATTTTCAGCAATCGTGTACCTTTTTTATTTATAAAGATTATCACATACTGTCTGCGTATATATACTAAGGTTCGGCAATTCTGGTTTTGGGTGCTGGTTTTCATGTGTACGAAGAGTACGGTCAACACGCTTAGTAAAATAGGATTACTGAATAAAGACAGAAGGCGAGTATTTTCCCAAGCGCATGGAATCTAGCATCCGATTAAGTAGTTATGTAATAAATACTTCGTATTTTTGCTCAGTCCGACTAGATTGCCATAACGACTCACTCCTATACATGTAAACGCCGACCTAAAGGTTCGCTTGCCAGCGGGGTGTAGCAAAATATAGCAGAAATGTCAAGAAAGTTTTTTAAAAACTACAATCAATTATTTTTAATGATTTTGAGATATCGATTCATTTTGAATTCAGAGTTCTAATAGCGCGCCCGCTGTCGAACACCAACTAAATTCCATATATTTTTACAAAAATTCAAGTGTTTCTAACTTAACATTTTTCAAGCTATAGGAAAAATTACGACTCGTTCATAAATAAACAAATAAAGTATCGCTAGACGTAATTAAATCGTGAAGCTGAACGCATGATATACACCTTTCCCTAGAACTTTAAGTATTGACAGAGGTACTGAAGTACTGATTGGGTCGACCGGTGGACTGCGACAAATCTGCTATATTCCCTTCCACGTCTGTGCGCAGTCTTTCGGTTTATTTCATACGTTTGGAAACGTGTTTACTGTTCTCTCTTTGTTCAGTACATTATAAACGCATTGTACTCTTCTTACATACGGAAATCTCGATCCAAGACTAACCTTTGCCAGCTCTAGAATAAACATAGAAATATGCAAATAATACTAAAAAGAACCTGCAGAACACGGCAGAATAGAAGAAACTCTAACATCTACAACTTAAAATTCTGGAGACATCTTTTTTGGCGGGGATGCAAAAATGATGAAAACAATAATTTCCTGATTACATTGGCGCATTTATTAGTTTTAACAGTCTTTAAAATAGTAAAAAAATACAAATAAAAACTAAAATAAATATTAAATATTTATATACAGTGGCAGTTTGGCTGTTTAAATGAAAATATAAACATAACTGTTACAAATAATTAGTATACATTTAATATTTACATTCTCTAACATACTAATAGTATGGTAATACCAAATTATATTTTATGGGGTTAAATTGATAAAAGATCTTTTTTTCTAAAATAAGAGAATGCAACATGAATTAACACAGAAGAGAGATAAAAAATAAATATCAAATTAAAACAGGAAATTAAGGTATTTTGAACATCGAATCAACACAACATTTAAAAAGTATGGCAACAAAATTCCTTAATCTAAATTCGAGACAAAAGTTGTCATGGCAGGAAGAGTATATTTCATATGCAAAGTAAAGGATATTTATAAGAAATAAATTATTTTAAATATACCCATATGTTACAAAGATTTTATGTTCTTCATCATATATTTAAATGCTAGATGAATCATCATATACAATAAATTTTCAAATTTATAAATTCCCTTTACTATTTTATTATACTATTACTGTACTATAATAAAATTAGATTTTTGACCTCAATATGAGGTATAACTAATGATCTTTGTACATTTATTGTTTGGCAGTTTAAACAATAATACCACTTTGGATAGATAGTAAGTCAAAAAATATTACATAAATCACAGAATAGATAATAAGGCTTAAAATTACTATTAAAAGATCAAATAGAGAATCAATACTAACATTTTCTTGGTGATAGAAAACTATCCAAACTTTTACATAAGTTCTCCTTCATTTTAAATTATTCATATATTTTCATAATTTAAAAACATAGAAAACGTCAAAGTTAAAGTCTGTTCAACCACCGTTCAACATTAAGTCGTATATTTGGACTGTTTCTTTCACATGAAAACGAGATGAAATATACAGATTGTTAACTGGACGGTTACTTATTGGGAAACAGAATGGCAACACTGCCTACATTCCAAATGAGTACTAAGCTAAGCTGCCTACTCGTCCCGTCGCGTCGTCTCTCGACGAGCGGGCCGAGGTTGCCATATTTCAACCATAAAGCTATTGCCGCGAGTAATAAACAAATTAACAACCTGTATTTTAGACGTCATTTATCGTTTTTAGTAAACCACTGGAGGTTGTAGAAACTGTCATTCCACTTGAATGGTTATGCTTTTATGTGTAAAATTAAAAATTTACTGTGATGGGCAAACAAAATTTTAATACGTTTGTTTTTAAAATATCTATAATTAAAATAAGGTATGTGCCCCTAAAGATTTTATTTATTTATTAAGATTAATAAAATCAGAACGCACTCAATTATGAATTTTGGAACGTAGGTATTGAATTTTTTTAAATATGACCTCAGACACCTTAAAATAGACATTAGATATATATATATATATATATATATATATATATATATATATATATATATATATATATATATATATATATATATATATATATATATATATATATATATATATATATGTATATATATATATATATGTATAATGATTACGTAACGTGAGCGGTCGTTGTACAGATTATATAATCAGTGCCTACTTCGTTCGTATTTTTTTTGTTTACTTCAAAACTAAGGGTACTTTATGATGATTTTTTGCATTATAATTTGAAATTAATATATGAAATTGATGTTTGGATATGAACTATGGTTACATTTATTGTTTAAATATGTATAGAACGTTCAGTCATCGTTCACCGTCACATCATATATTGTCGAACTCTCTCAGTCACTTGCCAACCAGATGAAAGAGATAGGTTAGGTTAGGTCATTACGGCCTTTCGTAAATTACTGCATATTCTTTTTAGTAATTGTCATTGTCATTTGATTTGAGGTTATATATTTTATTGACGGACATCGATCAATGTCAAAATTAAATTTTTTTATTACAAAATTGCTTCAAAGATTTAACCAAAATGAAAAACAGCTCATTGCTAAGCTTATAAATATTTATCTCGAGAAAGAGACGCTGGTGGAACAATCTTGCCCGTAGACGCCGTATATGAACTAAGTACCGTATGATCGAAAAAAAAACGGCGTCCAGTTGGCTTGGAAGTGACGATCGTTGACATTCTCCATATAATTTTACATATAACATGACGGCGATCTTCGTTTCATAGCCATCGTTGCGCCGGTTCTTTTTTTCGATCATACGGTACAATGCAAAGGTGGAATATTCCTATGTAAAATATCAATTGATAGTGTTTTAAAACGACATAGCGCATTGCTGATGCTTTAGAAATAGAAATTTCAGCAATCCAAAAGATTTGTACTAAAAGGATCGTAACTATATGAAGAGTTCAAGAAAAAAATTATTAAATGCCAAAAAAAAAGACGGAACACGCTTAATCAGTAATATAGGAACGTACTTAGAATTTTCTAAACAATATGAACTCAGACACCCCCTAAAACTCATATTCGACAAATGATGGTGACGTAACGTTGAAATATGGTTGAACAGTCTTTACAATTATTATTATTAATATTATTGTCTAAGGGTGTGGTCAACATTTTAGACATAGTTATTAGAGAGAAGTCTTATCAACACTGGTAAAGTGTACACAATTTTGACGCTTCATATTGATATATTTTTCGAAGTCTATAAAAAAAGAAATATAATACAAACAAATAAAGGAACTAACTAAATCTTGATAAAGTGTCAATGATAATTTCCCAAAAGATCGATCAATCTTGATTGGGTTCACAAACGCATAAAAAATCAGTTGAACCTACAGTTGTACTAATTTTTCAGATTTGGCAGTAAAAAAGATTTTGGAAATTATTTTGTTGACAATTAAACAAGTTAAGCTATTCGCTGCTCTATGATATGTAATGCATCTTAATGGCAAGCTGAGTGTTTTTTTTATATCTAAGTTAGCCTTTTTTCTTCTCTTAAAGCTGACCAAATTTTACTAATATACACAATAATACTTAAGATACTGACAATACTTTTTTTCTCATTGGCAACTTGACGAAACAATTCGACATTGCACCATTTCAATCGCTAGATCTTTCAAGATCTATTGTTACTCGAAATCTCCGAAGTTCCTTGGGACTGCTTAAGTGATTTCTACTAGCAGCCCATAATTACTATCTGGGAAACATTTTCCACAATAGCCGCCACATTTTCCTTGCACTAAAGTAGCCTGTAAATAAAATGTAAATGTAAATAAAATGATAAACAGTATGTAAACTGAGTAACTTCTTAGGGTGCGTTTATGTTGGAGCGGCGATAAACGATAAGAGCAGCGATAGTAGCGAAGCAAAGAATATTATTATATTAATTTATATGTAGGTGTTTATATTGGAGCAACGCGTCGAGACACGCTTGGCAGTTGAGCAACGATAAGAGCAGCGCTAATTCACTGCTTTTATCGTTTATTGCAGCTCCAACATAAACGTACCTTTAGAGCGTATTTTATTATCAACTTTGCTTTAGTTTAGTCACCTGTAGAGACTATTCTATTTTGCGTACTTATATAATATGTATATTATTCGAGGGGTGTATCACTGTTGAAATTATCATATCACAGCTATATGGCAGAGATACGGTGTGATTTCCTAGCCATGTCTGGCGTTCGCGTCCCGCTGCACAGTAGTTCGTTTCCCTATGAAGCGATACATTACTTTTCATTGATTTAATAAAATACAGGTTTTGGCCACGTAGTTCATAAAAAAAGAACCAGTGTGCGGCGGGCCGCGGACGCCAGACGTCGCGTCGCTAGAAAATCACACCTATAAGCAGTCTTTTGGTGGTACATTTACATTTTTATCCAAGTGAGAGATCCCTCGATATCATTATTTTCTTAATTTTAATATACAGGGTGTTTCAAAAAACATGTGCCATCTCTCGTGGGGAGATTCCTCACGTAAAAATAAGACTTATTTTTCATATCAACATAGGTCCTATTCTGCTTTGATTCGTAGCTACAGGGTGTTAAAATCTTAATAATCTTTCGATTTATTATAATTTTCTTTTAAGTACTTTTAGTGATTTAAATGGAATTTTGAGGGTAAAAGTTAGAATATATATATAAGTGTTACACATTTTAATGCAAAAAAAGTGTTAATATGGGATGCATCAGGGACGCGCATATGGGTTATCACTGGGTTTAAAAAAAAAACGTGCGCCACAGACTTTTTTCTTTTGATATCAAAATTATGTAGACCGTTTGATGCCATTTAAAAGTTATTTCTTGATATTTTGCCCAGTTCGGCCTCCTTGATTAGGTAAACTCAATTTTATTAATCACAATTAATAACATTAAAATAAAAATAAAATTAATAATTATATATTTTATCTAAATTATTATTAAATATAATTACTACTAGTCCAACATACAGCAATTTTAAATAAAAAAAAATAATGGTATTCAAGATAATTACAAAAAACCTAATTTTAAAAAGTTTTAACATCCTGTAACTCTAAAACTATGCATTTACATACCCATGTTTATAGGAACTTTTTTTCATATTTTTTGATGAGAAATCAAAGAGTACTTATTTAAAACTTTTGCGAGTTAATGATATTAAAAAAAATTTAAGGTTGCTATTAGACTTCGACGAAGATCAAGGCAAATTAATAAAATTCCGTTTATCTCATCAAGAAGGCCGAAATCGGCAAAATATCAAGAGACAACTTTTAATCAGCATTAAACGGCTTCCACCATTTCGCTAACACGAGAAAAAAAAGTCAGTGGCGTACATGGTTTTTTTAGAAAATATTACAGAGAAAACCCATATGCACGTCCCTGGTGAATATGTTGACACTTTTGAGCGTTAAAATATGTCGCGTTTATCGTAATTTTTACCCTCAAAATTTCATTCGAGTCGCTAAAAGTACTTGAAAGAAAATTATAATAAATCGAAAAAATATTAAGACTTTAACACCCTGTAACTACGAAACAAAGCAGAATCGGACCTATGTTGATATGAAAAATAAATCTTATTTTTACGTGAGGAATCTGCCCACGAGAGATGGCACATGTTTTTTGAAACACCCTGTATAGCGTTAGTAAGTTTGTTCTTGGGTCAGTATTTTCATGTGTGGAAGTGAATAGCTTGGGGATGTTATTAAGTCGGAGGGAGAAAAATGCGACGGTGTACTGTTCCAGCGTTGCTACATTTATCGGAGACAAAATCTTAATTTCATTATTAAGTATTGTGGTACTGAGCGAATAAACGATGAATAAAAGTAAAAAAAAAGAAACTGAAGACTTTTGTCAACTTTAAACAATTCCAATTGTTTAATATATGGCGAAATGTGGCGATTTGTTTGTGATTTTATTTGTTTTATTTGTTCCCAGTGATATGGCTTCCTGGAGGACTTTTGTCTTTCTGGGCCTCCTGAAGATGGGAATTAAATGAATCCCGAAATATGTCGCCCCAATTTTAAGTCAAATTAAATTTTGAAATAAGCATCCTGAAAGATTGTGAGTTTTTTGAGTCCCCTACCCCTCGTCAGAGGTTTTACATTGATATGTACTCACACTGGGTTGGAGAACGTTTAGTCAAATAATAACTGTTTATAATAAATTTATTTTTGTTTCCTAATATATTTTGATTAAAAGAAAATATGTAAAAATGGGCAACGCTGTGCAGGTCAAGCACGTGACTAAAAGTATATTTGGTGTGATCATTAGGTTAGTAGTAGTTAATTAATTTTATGTTCAAATTACCGTTCTTCTAATGTCAGCGGACGCAGATGGGCCAGCTTTATCCCAACGGACATAGGGTGACAGCTTGAAAGATGTATGCGTTAAGTCTACGGAAAACCGTCCTTGAGCACAACCTGTCACTTTGCTGTAACAATCGCCTGCTGTTCCGTACGGAATACGTGTTCCTTTGATTTGTTTGGAGAATGTAAAATCATCACCTGGTAATGAATAATGTAAATGATTATATTTGTCAAATAAAAAATTCGTACAATTTAGTATTATTTAGTATTAGTATTTTTTCCGTACAATTTAAAAACGATAAAAATATCTAACCAATCTAACAGACAATTTACTCTTACCTATAATCTGCATTGAAGTAATATTCAACCCAACTTTCCAAAACTTTGTAAATCCGTGTCGTTCTGGACTAATTTGGTCACAATGGCAGTTGTCCCTTCTATTACCATCATAGGGACACGAATTTAAATTCATTAATCTACGATAATTATTAAATGAGTAAACAGGACAAATACCGTGATTTTGATTATTTTACCTTTTGTCATACATCTCAGCATAATTATCTTTGTCTGGATGTAACGTTATATATTCTTGAGGTTCTGGAGTATCCATCTTATAACAATGTATCTTTACTGGCCTTCCTTGTAACGATATAATATAGTCTTTATTTTCTTTGGTTTTCATGTGGTGCTTTATTTCTTTGCAACTTTTGTACAAACCTTAAAATAAACTATTAGTATGCTCTTGTTGTATATTTAGGTCAGATTGTGTATACTTACATCTAAACTGGTTACATTTTCTTTTTCGTGGTGGTTTGAAACTTTTTGGACACAAGTATCGTGGTACTTTTTGACGTGTACGTACATCTATACAACTTAGAGCTCTCGTTTGTCTGCCTTTTTTACCACATGGGTGGGAACACTATAAAAATATCGTTTTTTAATAATATAAAAATTAATTCAATTTTTGGAATAAGTCAGGATTTTAGTATAAGACATTATGTATTTTTTATCCTTACTTGTGTTATTGTTCAATAAAATTTGTTATTAAATAGTAGTGTTTATTGATCTAAAAAATCTGCAGTATGACGAAAAATCTAGAACGCAACACGGCCGATAACAAATAACGGCCTTGGCTGCTTATGATCCTCGGCTATCGCCTCGGATCACAAACTTCAGCCCGGCCGTTATTTGTTGTTTATCGGCCTTATTACGTTAATAACTATAAAGCGTCCATTTTCAAAGTAATTATTGCTATCTTGTGAGTTTAATTTAAATTTTATTTACGCGAACCCGTGATAATAGTGAAAAAGGTGCATTAAAAACTTAAAAAGATGTGTGAACTGTGAACTGCAAAAACCATCGTGTATCGTGGCATAACGTCGGTTTCCAATGTTTTATAGATATTTCATACATATCTTTATATAAAATAAATTTTCTTATATGCAACACACTGTACTTTGTTTAAAAAATTAAAAGAAAATAATAATAAATTTGAATAAGTCCATTTTTTGCTAATTTGATTTTAATGCATCATATTTTTCGTCTTAAGAGCTACACCTTTTGGTACCTAAATAAACGGGAATATTAATAACGGTCACACAGAAACAGGCATTTAAAAAGGGGAAAACCCATAGAAGTCCATGTGTAATTTGAATTAAAAAGCGCTCTCCTGAACATTTATCGTTTTTGGAACTTCATCGACTTTCCCGTGTTGTGATTTGGCGACATAGTTCCGGAAAAAGCCGAACCGCTCTGAAATTATCAAAAGCTTTGGAGAGCGACCGTTGGAAGAACAGCTCCAAATAGTATTTACATTATCCTTATAGGCAATTTCCAATATAGGCTAACAGTTGGGAGAGAATGTCAGTGACAGTTCCGGTTGTCATTTTAATTCAAAATTAGATTGTATTTTTATTTAATTTTTTGAATGCCGCTTAAGAAAATCTTTCCTTACGCTTCTTTAAGCATTTTTTAGTGTTATAGACGGAGAGCTGGCTACATAAAAAACCTTATCTAATGTCTGCCAGCGCGATCCCGGGGCTTAAAGCGGGGGCGGCCAATCGAAACGGTGAAATTTTGATACTAAAAATATTATAAGGTACACGTGTTATAATTGCGAAAATAGCTTTTATTTATTATTAAAAAACGTGTAAAACTGTTGACAGACATTTTTCTCGTGGCTAAAATTCCGGCAGACAACCCGAAAGAGGCATGGAATTTGACAAAAAAAAATCATCGCATACATGCATGTCGATTGGTGGAATGTCATGTTTATTTATTTAAAAAGGCGTATGCGAAAGAACAAACCAAAAAATCGTGGCTCAATCAGCGGTAGACAGTTATAAAAAACGCGATATTACTCTACAGGGTGAATCTTGAATAAGTGCAAATATTTTTAGAGCTGGTAGATCTCGATAAAAGAAACATATTTTCTTTTAACAGTTTTCCTGCAAATATGTCCAAAATAACCGAGTTATTCAAGTTTTAAAATTTAAAAAGAAATTGATTTATTTTTAAATAATTTTGTGGGACACCTGTTTTTTTTCTGTCCTTGCATCCATTATTTTAGTGTCGTAGCCATAGAGTAAAGCCGTAGAAAAGACGGTTAAGAAATTGGGCTAAAAAAACAGGCTGTTCTAAAAAGTTTGCTAAAATATATAGGAAAATATAAAAATAATGCACGATTTTCTACATCTCTTTTGCGAAAGAAAAACTCATAGAGGTGGGGTCGAAATATATCAGCACCCTTAAAAGTATTTTCACTTATTTAAGACTCACCCTGTATAAGCGTTTTCAGGAAACGCTGACCGCGTTATAAATTGAAACATAATACCTGTAGGTAATCTATAAAAATTTTACGGTGCAGATATCGACTCAGAGGCAAACTCGTTTGTGAGAGCGGGGATCTGCAGTACGATGAGTCAGATACAAATAGTGAGACAGAATAGTAAATGTATGATATTATCTGTTTTGAAATAATAATAAAATATATTTATAATATAATCGTATACATGATTTATCTATACTTAAATGGATGAGGCGGCGAGCGTTCCCTGAAAGCGCTAGAGTAATATCGCACTTTTGATAACTGTCTGCAGCTGATTTAGCCACGATATTTTTGTCTGCCCTTTTGCATACGGCTTTTAAAATAAATAAATATGACATTCCACGAATCGGCATGCATGTATGCCATATTTTTTTTTTCATTCTTCAAATCTCATTTTTTAATAATTTTCCAGATAATTTTTAAAATTTCATGCCTCTTTCGCGTTGTTTGTCAGCATTTTAGCGACCAGAAAAATGTCTGCCAACAATTTTCCACGTTTCTTAATAATAAATAAAAGCTATTTTCGCAATTATAACTCGTGTACCTTTTATAATATTTTTAGTGTCCAAATTTCACCCTTTCGATTGGCCGCCCCCGCTTTAAGCCCCGGGATCGCGCTGGCTGACATGACTATTTCATAATGGCTACACAAAAGGATACTTCACACAAAAAATTAGCCATGTAACGATGATAAGGTTTTTTATGTAGTCAGCTCTTAGACTATTATTTAGTTGTTTGGTAAATTTTATAGTATAAAAGTATAAAAATTATAAAAAAAAGTATATTGCTATATTAAAAATTCATGCTTTAAATTTAGAAAGAAATCGTATTTCACTCTTATTACTTAAATAATTTTTCAATGTTTGTTTTGTGTTTAATTTATTTTACTTTAAATATACAAAACTCTATGTGGTTTGAGTTACTTGTATCTAATCGAGGATATTATAAATTACTAGTTGAAGCCTGGGCGCATCCACCACGACATCAGGAAAAAAAATACTTTTTATTTTTTTTAATTAAATGAAAATCAAAAAATCCGGCGACGACAGTTTTTAGAAGAGCCAATTAGCTATCTTTTAGTAAAAAAAGCAACTTTCTAGAGCAAGTCGTTACTTCAGTAGAGACGACACAGATAAACATTAGCATTTTATATATGTAGATACCTGTTTATACTCCTCAGCATGCCATACGTATGTATCTCCACAGTTACTTTCCATGCACGGAGCAGTTGAATTTGGCTTGTGGTTCAAATCGCAGTAATTTTTATGTATTATTCTACGTTTTACGTCAGGCAATGGATTCGGATCTACAATTCCTCCTTGGTGCACTTTGTGACACGTTACATCACGTGTTTTCACTCCCATACCACAAGTTGTCGAACACTACAGTAATAAAAATGATATTTATTTTTATAATAAAAAAAAATAGGCAAACAAACTTTATTGCTAGTTTTCACAGTTGTCTTAAATTTTATTTATCTATTAGCAAGAAGATATTTAGAATATGACGAAAACTATTGCTGTTATAAAAAGAACTTCTAAAGCCAAAAACCTTCTAGATCTAATATTAACACTATTCTGATGTACAGGATGAGTCGTAAATATAAAGCAATATAGTTTTGCATTTTAGTTTTAAAATTTAAAAAAGTGGTTTTTTCTTAAATTTTGAAAGCCACTGGATTATATCAGTTTTTTTGTCCTCAAAATTTAATCCACTACCTATACTGCTACACATTATCACGATATTATAGTTTTAATTGAAAATTAAAACAAACTTTTGAATATTTTTTCACAATTAAATCTAAAAAAAAAATACTAAAAATATTTTGACTTATTTAAAACCCACCCTCTATGGTTTTGTACATAGTCTACACAGGTATAGTGAACCCAGCCAAAGAATAGTTGTTAATTATATTAATTCATACCTAGATTATTTTTTGTAATTTTTTAGAGTGATCTAAATAATCATATTTTGTCGCCGAACTATACAGGGTGCTACAAATTCGAGGTACGAGCATTGGTAACCGTAATAGATATTTATATGGTTAATAGATATTTACATGGTTAAAAATGGGGCAAAGTTGCGCTTTAGTACGTTCACCAAGATGCCATTAAAATTTTTTTAAAAATTTCAAGAATTGCTATGTTGAGTTTTCTGGAAAAAACGGATTTTTTTGAAAATCATTTTTATTTTTTCCTGGCGTTACTATTTAGTAAATCAAAAAACTAATTGCACATTCTCATTGCCACTTTATTAGGGCTATCTGATGGTATTTTTAGATTTTCAAATTAGCTGATAATTTGTGAGATACAGTGGTCACCTTAATTTTTTTAAATACGGACCTGCATTTTTTATTTCAGATTTTGAAAGAACTCGGTCTCCTGAGTACAATGATATGCCACACTTAATATTTTTTTTTGTTTCGGACATTTGAACATAATTTATTTAAACTAATTTCAAGTTCGGCTCTGTTTCTTTTAAGATTTAATTTATTCATCTTTACAATATTGATAAGCTTTCAAACTTAACAATGACGTGGGGTAAAACATTGAATACCGTAAATCAAATGCAATAACTAAAGAGGCATTACTTGACGTCATTTGTAAAAGTGAAATCAATACATTTCAACATTTACAATACAGAGTACAAAATTAATTCGGAACTACTATAACAAGAAGTTATGTTCAAAGAGCTAGGGGCAGCATTAAGAGCAGCTAGCATTAGGGAGGGTGGTAATCCTTTCGAATATGTAGAGCATTAGAAACTAGTTTACAGAAGTTGATTTATTTATAACTACGATTAATCGTAGTTTTTTTAAATACGGATCGGTTTTTTTAAATACCTTTGAAAGCCTTATTTATCTAATAATATTCATAATATTAATATTATGAATATTATTAGATCATACACTGAGATTCCAAATTCACAATAAAAAAAGTTAAAAATAGTATCTTTAAATTGCAGAAATTTTTTATCCCGGAAAATGTCAAAAATGTATAACCATGTTTTTTTACCTTTCCTACGCGATAACTCCTAAACTAATCAACTTATTCACATACTCTTTTTTTTAATCGATTGGGAACACATAGGCGGTGATAGCTGAGGTAATTAAAGTTCCATAGTGAGTGTATTTTTTTTTGGAAAATCGATTAAACTTCAATCATTAACTTTATTGTATCATGATTTTCGGTAAAGCGAGAAACTTTTTTATTTGGAGGAATTTTTACATAGTATCTGCGTATGAAATAAAGTAAAAATATTGAAAAAGTTTTTAAAACTTGGTACAATCTTCTAATGCTAATACTTTTCTAGTTATCCTAAATTAAATTTACGAATAGGCGCGGCGGACGCGATGTTCCGTAGGCCTATTTCTGATTACCTGCTGTTTGAAATTTAGTAAATTCTGTACGTTATAAATTATTTAGTTATTGACTCTTTAATTTGCAGAAAAACTATAAACAAAAATGATAAGTTTTTTTTTAAATCCTAATACGAGACCTAAAAACTATCATAAATGCTGCGGAAAAAGACAAGATGATGTATGCTTAATATATTAATTAATAATTGTTGATATGTTATATTAACAATTATTAATATATTATATTAACAAAAAGAAAACTAAGTTAAATAGAACGGTTTTGATATTATAATAATATTTTTGATATGTGATAAAATAGGAAAAAAAGGGATCACAAATCATCACAAATTCACATCTAGACAAACAGATATCTTATGTTGTAAACTATTTTAATAAGATTTTTTAATTAATTAATTTATATGATTAATTAATAAAATTGATATGTTCGCTAAAATTCCATAGTCAGTATTTCTTTTGCCAATAGGGCTGAATAATTTATCATATAAACCAGAATAATATTAATTATTCTTATTTACCGTAAATCTTTTAATGCTTGAGACACAAAAAAATGTAGATCAAAAAATGATTGAATTATTTAATAAAAAAATATATATGTATTCATTAAAGTTTATCACTGTTGAGTTATCGCGTAGGAAAGGTAAAAAAACATGTTTATACATTTTTGACATTTTCCGGGATAAAAAAATTCTGACCCCCCCAAAAAAGGTCGTAATTAGTCATTTCACATGCACAAAGCCCTAACCGATCATTTCATGACGATGTTATGTGGTTATACCTTCAAAATTTTTTTTTCGAGAAGGAAGCGACTTTTCTCAGTGATTTTACTCCACTATATAGGATATTGGAACATAAGTACACTAAGCGCGTGTTACTTTTAGTAATTTATTCCCATAACATTGCCAGAGATGTATATTTTTTGAAAGTAGGAGGCAAATATGATTCACTAATAAAATATTGATTTTGGACTTGTATTTATTTTTAAAAGTGTAGTAAAATGGTTGCTACAAAGTAAGTCTCTGTCAGTCGGTAGCTAGAGCGAAGTATACAGGGTGCTCCAAAAAACATTCGTGAGATTCCTCGCGTAAAAATAAGATTTATTTTTCATATCAACATATGTCCGATTCTGCTTTGTTTCGTAGCTACAGGGTGTCAAAGTCTTAAAAATCTTTCGATTTATTATAATTTTCTTCCAAGTGCTTTTAGTGATTCGAATGAAATTTTCAAGGTAAAAGTTACTATAACACATATTTCTACATTTTCTACATAACACACATATTTTAATGCTAAAAAAGTGTCGAGAAATTCATCAGGGGCGTGCATATGGGTTATCACCGGAATATTATTCAGAAAAAAAAACATGTGCGCCAGTGACTTTTTTTCTTTTGATATCAAAACTGTGTAGGCTGTTTAATGCCAAATAAAAGTTATATCTTGATATTTTGTCGAATTCAGCCTCCTTGATGAGATAAACCCAATTTTATTAATCACAATTAATAAAATTAAAAATAAAAATAAAATTAATAAATTATATATTTTACCTAATTGATTCTTAAATATTATTACTATTAGTTATTATTACTATTAGTCTAACCTAGAGTAATTGCAAATAAAAAAATAATGGTATTTAAGATGATTAAAAAAAATCTAATTTTAAAAAGTTTTAACATCTTGAACTCTAAAACTATGCATTTCCATACCCATGTTTATAGGAACTATTTTTCATATTTTTTGATGAGGAATCAATAAGTACTTATTTAAAACCCCAGGAAGTTAATGATATTAACATTTTTTAAAGGTTGCTATTAGACTTGGATCCAGGCAAATTAATAAAATTGCGCTTATCTCATCAAGGAGGCCGAAAACTACAAAATATCAAGAGGCAACTTTTAATCGGCATTAAACTGCTTACACTATTTCGCTAACAAGAGAAAAAAAAAGTCAGTGGCGTACATGCTTTTTTTAGAAAAATATTCCAGTGATAACCCATATGCACGTCCCTGGTGAATCTATCGACACTTTTTTAGCTTTAAAATATGTCGCATTTATAGTAACTTTTAGCCTCAAAATTTCATTCGAAGTGCTAAAAGTATTTGGAAGAAAATTATAATAAATTGAAAAAATATTAAGACTTTAACACCCTGTAGCTACGAAAGACAGCAGAATCGGACCTATGATAATATGAAAAATTGATCTTATTTTTCGTGAGGAATCTTCCCACGAGAGATGGCACATGTTTTTTGAAACACCCTGTATATCTTTGTAAGTTAAAATAATAAAGAAAACATTCGATATTGTTCTTTTTCGAATCAGTGGGCCACCCTGAATACGTAAGGGGTGACAGAATTAATTAATTTAGTTACAGTAATAAAACAACTCTATTCAAATCATCACTCTCTCTAATACTAGGTGTTAATAGAGACAACACCGTAAACGATAAGCAACCCAGAAGTCGTTTAGTAGTTGTCGGTTATCAACACAACCTTCGTCGACGAATTTTGAAAACTTACAGTGGACCAGTGTCCTTCGATCCACGAGTAGTTACAGTGGAATCTCTCGCAAGCTTTGGTCGTCTTGTTGGGCTTTTGCTTATAGTTGCAAAGTGAGTCAACTACTATGATCTCGTTTAAGGTGTCTTCGCATTCGACGGCCCTTCTGCGTGTGCCCTTGCCGCATTTGGTGGAGCACTATAGAGTGGGTAGGTAACAGTGTGAGTCAGTGATAGGTGAATATGGTCACTACTATGTGTATGCGTGATATAGATTTAATGAATCGATGAAGAAGAAGTAGGGAGTTATGTAGTGCAAGTAAAAAATTTAGCAGGAAAAATTGGGAATTTTTTTATTTTAAAATTTTTAGGAAAAATGTGTATGTTGTATCAATTCAGCATGACTAATATTATATAAATAATTAAAAATTTATGTATAATATATATTAATGTATTACGATTTTCAGCCTTAGTAAATTAGTTGCATTACTAAGTTATCTTAACAACTTTAGACCACGTTCCCAGAGGTCTCTTCCAATTTTCGTTTGACTGACCGTGGTATATGTATGTACATAACTACTGTAATCAACTGTCTAATTGGCTTTGGTAAATTCAGAGACTTTTTTCTTTGCTGGCTCTCCTGGCATGCTGAATTTATTCGGCATTAACTTTTTTTCAATAACTTATCTCTAATATTTTTCCATATTTTTTGAATTTGACACACTGTATTACAATATTATTTTAAATTTGATAATTACTTAAAGAAAGAAAACAATATTACGTCTTAAATATATTGTTTTTCGGAGATTTCTTCATCAAAACATATAATCTTGTTAGACATAGATGAAATAAATAGAACAGACTATGAAATAGAAAGCTATTTAAAGATATGTGATATATGAAGGGTTATTTTATTTTATATGTCTTTGTATCTAACTAGAAATATTTTACAATAAATAAAATAATAACCAACTATCGTCAGATGTACTATAATCAAATTTACGAAAGAAGATCTTACTGAATATTCTAAGAAACTTGGAAAATATTCTTTAAAATTTACATGGGATTTCATATGTGCAGGCCTGGGTTTAGGTCGATGCAACGCACTGTATATTATACTAAAGTAAAATCTACATTCTGAAGATATAAAAGTTGTAGTTGACATGCATTTTGAAGTCGTTGCGGTTAAAAGTTTAAATGACATGCATTCTAACCTTAGATCTTATAAAGATTCTAACAAGTCCTTAACAAGTCAAATCAAATTCATCTAATAAATACGTTGTAATATATAAAACAACCCTTCATAGCTAAAGTTTTTGATTAATAAGCTGTATATCAATGGTTCCTATAAAATATACACACAAGCTTTAATACTAGAACGTTTTAAAGTTTATTGTTATGAAATGAAATAATCCTAACATTATTAAAGTGATAACTGTCAAATATGAACATCTGAACATTAAATAGTGATTTAGAATATACTCTTTATTTTATTACCTGTTTATATGGGCCAACTTTCCATTTATACCTATTTTCTCTATCTTTGGTATCAAAGTACGTTCTAGGAATGTTGTTGTGAGGACACTCAACAAGTTTACATTTTTCTGAAGTTGATGGCTTGGTCCCGTTACATCTATTATCCTCATACGTAACTCCTGAAAATAATTACTTATTTTTAAAATAAATTATTGTATAGAATAATTTTCAAATATTTGTTTACTCAATTTTAGATGTACTGGAAAGTATACAGGGTCGCTGATATATATGGGAACGGTCAATAATTAGGTAAAATATACAAGGTACCGCAAAAAGTTAAATACAAAAGTTATAGGGTTTTTAAATGTCGATTAGCCAGTAGTAAATTTAAGTATCGGTCGGTCAGGTTTTGGCACATCAATTTTTTTTTAAATGTAACCCCTTGTATATTATTGCATATTTCAATTCTTCTTTTAATTCTAAGTAATACTCGTAATACACATAATGTACCTAAATTCAACCATTTCCAAATTATGAGGCTTTGATTTTGAAATGTTAAACGAACATTTTGTAATTTCCAGGCTTGATTTAATCTCATTTTATACACCTATAAATGCTAAGTTTAGAACTAATGTCAAATACTATTAAGTCTCACAGTTTCCGCAAAATGGCTTCGTTAAATGAACCCGAACACATCGAAATTAATTCAATCGAATTGTTTAAGTGACATTTTCAAAAGTCAATAACTGGAAAATAGTTGGTTTGAGGTGCATAGTGTGTATTTTCATTTTTGCTTAGAATTGAAATTGGCATTAATATACAAGGGTTCCATTTGAAAATTGAGGTTTTGCGGTACCTCGTATATTTTACCTAATAATCGATGGTTCCCATACATATCAGCGACCGTCCATAGGGTGATTCATGGTAATAGTATATTAGATGTTTATGGAGAATCGGTGGATTTATTGAAAATTGGGATTTTTACATAAAGGCACCCGTTCGGTATATTATTACATTTTTGAAAACAACTTTCTTTCTATTATACTAATCTACAGGTTGTTAACTGGACGGTTAGTTATAGGGGAACAGAATGGCAACACTGCCTATTGAGAACGCATGCACTTAAAGGGTTTTCTGCCGACTCGTCCCGTCGTCGCGTCGTCTATCGACGAGCGGGCCGAGGTTGCCATATTTCAACCATAAAGCTCTTGCCGTGAGTAATAAATAAATTAACAACCTGTATATCTATCTCTAATAGTTTTCGATATAAAAAATAAAACATGTGTAAAACTGACAAAAACATGACCGATATTGGTAGGTATAATAGAAAAACGATAGAAAACTCGATGAGGGTATAAAAGATCGAATAATGCAAGGCCGGAGGGCAATATCTATGTTGAATGGTGTACTGTGGGTTCAAGGAATTTCTAAAGCTAATAAGAAGAACATATATAATACCGTAGTGAAAAGTATAATAACTTACGGAAGCGAAGTATGGCAGTTGAAAAGAAGAACGGAGAACATGCTATTAGCAACCGAAATGGATTACTGGAGGAGATCTGCTGGAAAATCGAAAAGAGAAAAAATAACCAACGACAGAGTAAGAGAGATGATGGGAGCAGAACACACAGTTGTGACGACATAAGAACAAAACAACTCATATGGTTTGGTCATGTGCAACGAATGCCCAAACCAAACCAAACCACAGAATACCAAAACAAATTTTACTGTGGACACCGCGGCCACGACTAAGTTGGAGGAAGGGTGTGGATAAAGAACTGGAAAATAGAGAAATACCTGATGATCTCTGGCTAAATAGAGAAGAGTGGAGGTTAGGTGTCGGAAAACGTCGTAGAACGTTCTGAAAATAATTTCGAAAAATGTAATAATATACCGGGTGTTCGTAGAACAACAGTACGAAAGACTTTCCAGACGATCACCCTCTATCCTCTCGCATCGTCTAACCCTTGTCTAACGTAGCTTAATTTGATTGAGCTATCGAGAACTGGTGTTTCGACGTACCAGAAACTATTGCATGAATGGTTAAATTTAGGTATCTTTTAATTACGTGTTTATGCTAAGGAGTATAATAGCCCTAACTAAAAAATGTCTATACCTATGTGGCGGATTAGGTTAGGTTACTGCAAGAATATCTACAAAATAAAATAGTTATTTTTTTTGTAAATACTTCTACGTTACACCTAAATGGACACTGCTTGTCAGAAGTTATGTTTACAGTTATACAAATTTGCCCAACAAAAAAAAAATGCTTAACGTTTCGGAAAGTTTATCTCTTTCCGTCGTCGGAAGCAAAAAAAAAATAATAAATAAATTCAACTATTCGAGAACACTTTACTTTCTTAAATACAGATACGTCTACAAAAAACCGTTGACGTTCTGTTATTATGACATTATATCAAGTTAAACTTCAAAATTAACAATTACTACCTGATAACAATTAATAAGGTAAAACCAAACAGCCCAAACTTTCTGTATGATTATTGTTATGTTCTTTAAAATCAAAGAAGCGATTGCCATACATTAGATACTAACATCTACAGATGCATGAGCAATACATTTATTTTTATTAGATTGAATTAAAAAAGCCTCTTTTATTTTTCTTTTAGGGGCTCTCGCTTTTTTCATTATAATTTTGGCGTTATTAAAATATATTCTGTGCCCTGTGTCCCATGAATGCTGACAAATCTTAGATTTGTAAAAATCTCCCTTTCTTAAATAATCTTTATGTTCTTTAATTCTAACATTTAAAGGTCTAAATGTTTCACCAATGTAAAATTTATCGCATTCACATGGTATTCGGTATATTACATTTTTTTTGTTGTTCTGTATTCATTGGTTTAGTATGTGATAAAATGGATCTAATCGTATTTTGATCACCTCTCTCTCCTTTATTAAGTAATATTTTTATGGAAGGTAAAATAATACAATAAATAATTTTTCAAAAAAGCCTGTAATATGGCTGCGTTATGTTGATGATATTTTTGCAATATGGCAACATAACGTTTCTGAAATAGACATTTTTTTGGATTATATAAATTCTCGCGAACCTACCATAAAATTTACTTTAGAAGTAGAGAGAGGTAATCGTTTGCCATTTCTTGATGTTTTAGTGTCAAAGTTTCAAAATAAACTACTTTTAGATGTTCACAGAAAACCCACAAACACAGATAGATACTTAAATTTCACATCTAAACACAGTATAAGTGTCAAAAAAGGTGTTCTAAAAAGTTTATATAATAGGGCAAAAATAATATGTACAGACGACATTTCACTAAACAGAGATATAAACCACACAAAAATACATTAATTAAAAACGACTATCCACCATATTTTATTGAAAAAACATTAAACGAAATACAAACCCCAAATCATAGACACAATGATAACAACACAAATACAACTTACAATTCCATACATACGAGGCGTTTCAGAAAAAATAAGAAGGATAGGAAAACAATATAACATATGAACATCTTTCAAACCACAAAATACACTTAGATCCATTTTATCACATGCTAAACCAATGAATGCAGAACAACAAACAAAAAATATAATATACCAAATACCATGTGAATACGATAAATTTTACATTGGTGAAACATCTAGACCTTTAAATGTTAGAATTAAAGAACATAAAGATTATTTAAGAAAGAGAGATTTTTACAAATCTAAGATTTGTCAGCATTCATGGGACACAAGGCACAGAATAAATTTTAATAACGCCAAAATTATAATGAAAGAAGCGATAGCCTCTAAAAGAAAAATAAAAGAGGCTTTTTTAATTCAATCTAATAAAAATAAATGTATTGCTCATGCATCTCTAGATGTTAGTAATGTATGGCACTCGCTTCTTTGATTTTAAAGAACATAACATAAATAAACATAACATACCTACGTAAAAATTAAAAATAATCATACAGAAAGTTTGGGGCTTTTTGGTTTTTCCTTATTAAGTAATTGTTATCAGGTAATAATTGTTAATTTTGAAGTTTAACTTGATATAATGTCATTTTAACAGAACGTCAATGTTTTTTTGTAGACGTATCTGTATTTAAAAAAGTAAAGTGTTCCCGAATAGTTGAATTTAAAAATTTTAAATAGTTTTTTTTCTTTATTCTTTGTATTTTTTTTGCTTCCGACGACGGAAAGAGTTAAGCATTTTTTTTCTTTGTTAAATTTGGTATAACTGTAAACATAATTACTGACAAGCACTGTCCGTTTAGGTTTAACGCAGAAGTGTTTACAAAAAAAAAATAACTATTTTATTTTGTAGATTTTCTTGAAGTGCAGTGGTGAAATACCCATAAAGGATTTTTTGGAGCCCTAACTATTCATACGAATTTCGCATTAACTAGACTTACTTGAATTATCCATGCATATGACTTGTCTATGTCTCTCACAGTTTGAGTCACATTTTGGACTCCAAGACCAGCTTATCCATTTGGGACACTCTTGGTCATTGCAACTTATGTGATTTTGGGGTTTTTGGTAAGGGTTGCACTTCAAATTATTTTCTTCTCCGAACTCATTTCGGCAATAGAATTCCTGTGTACTGACTCCTCCGCCGCAGGTTTGAGAACACTGTTGTTAAATATAAAAACTGAACTTAATTATCTTAAGTAAAAATTTTAAATTAAAAAGATAAAAATTTTAATTTAATTTAAAATTTAAAATTCCATTTTATAAAATGTTATTTTCTTACCGCGCTCCATGGACCAGGAATCCATTGAAATACGGTTCTCCTAGCATCGTTTAATATATTCCTTTGCATATCATAAGGTGTTATTTCCTGTAATATGTTAAGATATTATTCAGTCAATGGTAAAATTTGTTACCCTGTATATTGATATCTTACTTTGAAAACCTCGTAAATACCCAAAATCTTTTTTTTAGGGGAAACAAAAAACGTTTTCAAGTGTTCCTATTCCTATTAATTCTGAAAAATAAAATTGTCCACAGATAAAACAAAACAATTCGATTTTGAAGTCTTTATCGGAATAGGATATAAATATAATTTTTGATCAAAATTCAAGTAACGAGGTTTTCAAAGTAAGGTTTCGATATATTCTCAGGTATGGTGTGTAAAGGCCTTGAGCGTAGGTAGATACAGCTTGTATCTTGTATAAAGTGTGTCCAACGAGATAGGGAAAATTTTGACAGTCTATATCCCAAACTGTCTTAAAACTCATAACTTTATTCTCATTGCGCGTTGCCGTTTGTTTTTTTTAGTTTTTATTTTGACTTTCAACCTTTTGTCTCACTTTTATATTGCAAATGATGCAAGTGTGTTCAGTTAGAAGTTAATTTTAAAATTCTAAAATTTTTAAAATTCATATTCAAATTTGGCGCCTGGACGATAGATCCTGGACAAGAATAGATAGAGAGCAGTACCGGGCGCACAACAAAGAAATGAGATAATAGCCTATAGGTGATATGTTTGGGACATTTTTTTAGTTATTTACTTATCCACATCTGTATACCGTGCTGACAACTCATACTGTTGGGTCGGTATTTACATGTGTGGAAGTAAATGGCATAGGGATCTTATTTGCAGTGTTGCCGTAGCGGGAAAGGCGTACCGAAGAAATGTCTCAGGTACACCTTTCCCTTTCAATTTAAGAAAAATCAAGGTTGCAAACGGCGTATTTTTAAAATACTTCTTTTTCGAAAAGATAACTAAATAAAATCATTAGATATGTTTCTGAGCATCTGAAATGGAATTATAAGGATATCGTTAGGTGTCCATATTTTTTACAACGAGAAAAGGTTAGTAATCTCTATAATTTAAAAACTCAACTTGTTAACACATAACACGCGATAACTCAAGAACCATTTTAGATATTGAAACTTTTATTTTATTTTGAAGTTCGGATCTTTTACAAGATGTTTAAATGAAAAAAAAAAAATCGATAGGCATGTTTTTTTCATTCAAAGATTTGAGAAAACCCGTCCATTTACTTTTAGTGCATATCAATTTTCAGCAATCGTGTAAGTTTTTTATTTGTAAAAATTTTCACATACTGTCGCGAAGAAAATATAGCAGAAATATTAAGAAAGTTTTTGAAAAAAAACTACAATCAATTATTTCTAATGGATTTCGAATTCGAGTTCTAATAGCGCGACCACTGTCAAACACCAACTCAATTCCACTTATTTTTTACCAAAATTACAAGTATTTCTTGCACTTAAAAATTTACAAGTTATAGGGAAAATTACAACGACGCGTTAATAAATAGACAAATAAAGTATCACGAGACGTAATTAAATCGTAAAGTTCGACGCATGGTATACACCCTTCTCTAGAATTTAAATACTGATTGGGTCGACCGGTCGACCGCGATGAATCTGCTGTATCCTCTTTTAGCAATGTGCACAGATTCTCAGTTTCTTTCAGACGTTTGGCAACGTTGTTCGCTCTTTGTTCAGTACATTATAAACGCATTGTACCCTTCTTCGATACGGAAATCTCGACCCAAGACTAACCTTTGCAAGCCTTTAGTACATGATCTAGGCATTTCAGGCTGAGTCGACTTAGGTACCAATATTAGTGCCAGAAATTTTTGTTTTAAATGCAGCACGAATTGAACCTGCGGTAATTCGCGTTGTAGAGGATTAAGACGACTCTTCAAAGATCTTATTTCAGAAATGTCGTACTTACGTTGCATTCCCTATAGCATCTTCTACCAGTATCTCTAGGTAGTTTTATGCCTCTACAGTATTCTTGAGGTAGAACCTCTTCAGAATCAAACTTTTTGCACACGTGCCGTCGTCTTTCGATTCCTTCGCCGCAGGTTACTGAACAAGGTTGGAACTCGTTTTCTGCCACCCATCGACCACAAGCATGTTCGTTACAAGGTTTTGTAGACGGTGGTCTGGAGCTTGCATCACATGCCATGTGGTCGTAAATATGACCACCTACAAGGCAGTAATATGTAATATTTTGATATCCCCCTCCGCATGGTGCAGAACACTGGAAAAGAAAAAAATCATAATAAAAATTTTCCAAAAATTTTTCATTTTATTTTCATAGATCTATTATCACTTTTTGCTTGGACCTTCTGGGAAAGATCCTTATCACCTTCGTTAGTACGCCATTGAATAGGCACACTCGTTAAATTCAAAACTGTCGCTAGAAAATTTCCCTGGTGACACCAGCTTATCTTGATTGCCATTTTATTGAAAAATCGCTTTTTATTCAAAATCTGAGCTAGATAGGTATAGAAACCCTAACATAGTTTGAGAGAGCATTTGAATCTGCTTCGATTTGTTTTACAGAATACAGGATGTTGCATTTGAAATAACGAAGTTTTTTTGTAAAATAAAGATTTAAAATAGATCAGCAATTTTGATACTCCTGTATAAATTTAAGGAAGCAATAAAATTTTTCAGTAATATTTGTTTCTATACCTTTAAACTCAGCACAAGCCTTAATTATGAAAAGTAATGTACAGGGTGTTGACAATCTTTTTTATTATACAGGGTGGTCCGAACTGTATTCCGGAAACTTCGGCAGCATATTCTGCAGATAAAAATAAGTAAAAAAGTTCGTATAAATGTTTGTCCTAAGATGTTTAGTTTCGGAGATACAGGGTGTAGAAGTTTCATTTTTTTTTCGATTTTTTCCCAATAATTTCTGCAGTAACGTCAATATTTGGATGAAAATTGGTATCTGGGAGTTTTTTGACATGAGAAATTTGATTTTGATGTCAATATAAGTCCTACTAGTAGAGGGCGCCACCTACATATTTTTTAACTGGTTGAAGAAAAATAACTTTTCGTCCGTACCTGTATAAAACTACTGAGTAAAAAAATACACATTTACGACGTATTAAGTGAAAAATGCCTCTTGGTAAAAATCGCTACGAGTATTGGTTTGCTAGATATTTGGAATCGAAATTATCAATACCTGTCATCATTGACATAAATTAATCATGTTGAGTAAATAGTTATTAGACTGAGATCATAAATTTGAAAGTTTTTGTGCCAAAAGTTCAACAGAAACTGTTTTATCATCATTTTTTTGCAGAAAAATTTATGATTGTTTTAAAAAAACAAAAATTTCCCAAATTTATTATTTCAGTGAAATAACTATCTACTGAACGTGTTTATTTTTCGTCAATAATGACATGTATTGACTATTTCCATTCTAAATATTTTGAGAACGGTTGCGCGTAGCGAATTTTATAAAGAGATATTTTTTGCGTTATAGATAACCTTTACCCTTATTTTCAGCTAATGAATATTAAGAGACAAATAATAAAAATAAAATCTAAATTATAAATTTCATGGCTATAAATAGCATACATATGCATCTAGAAATTCTGACTTTCAAACATCCACTGCGACTAGTATTTTCATATCCAATTGTCTAGTATTAAAGTCCGAATATACATTTTCCCTGGGTTTGACCGGGAATTTGCTTATAAATGTGAACAACCGGCTACGTCGCTTCACATCGCGTGGCCGTGGCTTGACTCCAAATTCCTTCGTTTTAAAAATATTATTAGATTGGGCTATAGGCGCCCTCTGTGTCATTAATAGGGAACTGTCTCATCGAAAACATGCTGTTCCGTAAGCAATAGCCATCTGGATTATGTGTTATCTGTGCTTATACGAAGTTTTTTACTTATTTTTATCTGCAGAATATACTGCCGAAGGTTCCAGAATACAGTTCGTACCACCCTGTATATATCATGCATATTTAAATGTCTTTAAATATCTCAAAAACCAAAGACTTTAAACGTATTTAACCCTTATAATAAATACCTTTTTTTGGAGCCAAAACTCCAAAAATTAAATAAAATAGCGGGTGTTCCATAAAAGAAAAACTTTTGTATGGATGTTAGTTCTAAAACACCCTGTATATTTCAAAATAATTTAAATTGTGCCCAACCAAGTGTTATAGCCTAACACAACGCATAAAATATATTTTGTTTCTACATCTTTCAGTTTTTGTATATTTAAGCGAGGCGAATGTGGTGCACCACCCTGTATTCTATTATTTTTAATTTCATTTTATCAAATAATTTTTATTTTCGAGACTTATAAGAAATTGTACAGAAAATAGCTACAAACATAAGGTCAGTACTTACGGAAGAGGTTTCTACGACTCTCCAGATGGGGCAAGTTTCTATATTACATATTTGTTCTGTTATTTTCTCCGTTTTACTACAGTGGGATTCATCGATAGACAAATTGTTTTCGTCAACGCACTTGGAAGATCTTCTCTGAATACCCCCTCCACATGTTTTGGAGCACTACGAAAGTGTTATTTCCTATAAGTACCATATTTTTAATAACAAACGTAAAAAATATACCTCTGTCCAGTTTGAATAATCCCATCTTGTAGTGTTACAAGGATTGTAGCATTCCTCATTACCTGGCGGTTTAGGTAGCACGTTGCAATGTTTTTCGTTTACTATTTCGCTGGGTTGATTTTTTGAGGAAATCTTCATGCAGTTGTAGTATACTCGACGATACCTAATATAAAAAATATATACATATTATAAATGCTAATTGTAACATTGAAAATGTTTATTTGTATTATATATTACATTTATTGGAGATTATATCAGTCTAGAAATTATATTTAGATCTACTATTATAAATCAACTTTCGAGTATTCGTAATATTATATTATAGTAATACAATATGATCGAAAAAAAAACGGCGTTAACGATGGCTATGAAATTATGATCGCTGTAATTTTATATGTAAAATTATATGTGAGATGTTATCGATCGTCATTTCTAAGCCAACTGGACGCCGTTTTTTTTTCGATCATACGGTATTATTTAAACAAATATTCGATTTACAGGGTCGCTTTTATGTATGGAAACGGTCGATTATTCGGTAAAATATAGGAGGTACCGCAAAAAGTTAAATATGAAAGTTATAGGGTTTATAAATATCTATTAGCGGGTAATAAATTTAAGTATACAGGGTCGGTCATAAAGTCGTGGCACATCAAAGTTTCATTTTTTTTTAAATGGAACCCCCTGTATATTATTGCAAATTTCGGTTCTTCTTTCAACTATAAGCAAAAATCGAAATACACACAATGTACCTCATACCAACCGTTTCCGAGTTATTGACTTTTGAAAATAAGACCTAAACAATTTGATTTAATTAACTTCGATATGTTCAGTTTCATTTAACGCTGCCATTTTGCCGAAACTGTGGTACTTAATAATATTTGACATTATTAGTTCTTAAGTTAGCATTTATAGATGTATAAAATGAGAGTATAGCAAGTCTAGAAATTCTGCAAAATTTTAGTTTAACATTTTAATTCTTCAATGTATGTAGATTGTGTATTACGATTATTGTTTAAAAATGAAGGAAGAATTATTGAAATATGCAATAATATACAGGGGCTTTCATTAAAAAAAAAGTTTGATGTGACACAACTTTATGACCGACCCTGTATACTTAAATTTACTAGTAGCTAATAAGAATTTAAAAACCCATTACAACAGTATCACAGTTTCGGCAGAGTGGCATCATTAAATCATACCAAACTCATCGAAATTAATTAAATCGAATTGTTTAAGTGATATTTTCAAAAGTCAATAACTCGGAACCGGTTGCTTTGAGGTACATTATGTGTATTTCAATTTTTGCTTAAAATTGAAAAAAGAACCGCAATATGCAATAATATACAGGGGGTTCTATTTAAAAAAAATGAAACTTTGATGTGCCGCGACTTTATGAACGATCCTGTATACTTAAATTTATTCCTTTTTTGGACTTTTTGCGCTACCTACTATATTTTACCTAATAATCGACCATTTCCTTACATAAAAGCGACTCTGTATATATGTATTGATACTAAAGTTTTTCCATAATTTTTAAAGTTATGGTTCACATCCTATATTTTTTAATTTAATTTTCCCAAATAATTATTATTTTATTTATTCTTGTTATTTTAATATTTAAACTACTATTATAAGATTTTTATTTGCCATAAAATCCGGATGTTTATTACTAGATAAACTTTCAACTGTTCATAATTAAATGTATTAGTAATACCGTTTGATCGAAAAAACGGCGTCAAAGACGGCTGGGGAATGACAGTTGATGATAATTTTGACGAGCTGAATCTGTAGACGTCGTTTACTAAAAATTGACATAAACTAATCAAAAATTAACACTAATCTAAGACAGAAGGTTTCCAGGCACAGAAACCTATTTTCAAAAAATTATTTGTTCTCGAATTTTAAACTATAGGCTTAGCGCATTTCGGTTAATTTTTAAAAATACCGCCCGCAGCGCTCGATACAGCAGAAATCAGAAGTTTTCGCTCTGTATTTCACTCAGTTCCGATGTTGATGACATTGAAATAATATAAAAATCGCGGCTTTTATTGCCCATTTCATAATCAAAAATTTAAATAGGCATATACCATAAAAGGATAAATTATAATTTGTAATATTAATGGTATACTTGTTTTAATCAACTAGTGCTTAATTTATTTAAGAACATCTTAAATTATAATTATCGACTTTTAAAAAAAAATCGTTATAACCGAAATAGCCCCAGTTATGTCTTCGCTATAGCAAAAATGGTGCGTAATACTATGCCAGCTACTGTAGTTGAACTCATTTAAAAAGTTTTATTAGCTTGACTAAATTACAATACAAGTTAGACCTTCTAAAGATCTCAAAATATTACGAATCAAGGGTACGAACTAAGGGTACAAACCAAGAAAAAAATGTCTAGCAATAACTCCTCAAAATGGAATGTCGTTCTCCAGCCGCCTCTGAAGTCTTTTTTTTCCGTCCTATGGTATTAATTAATAAAACAAATTCTATTTTTTCATAATTTTTTAAGGTATGAGACGCATTTCATATATATATATATATATTAATTTAGTTTTTTAATAAAAACTCTTCGTATAAGTATAAACACAGCCAGACACAATTTAAAATTATTAAAGTGAAATCACTTCTTAAAAAAATTCCTGCATGAATGCTTTCATTGAAAGCTAATGTTATATAAATATATAATTTATCCTGAATATCAAAATATTTTAAATACAGTATCCAATGAAACCACTCTTATGCCCCTCTACTGTTCAGGAATATTATTATTGAATTACGTTAAGCCCTGACGCTCCCATAAACGATTTCAAAACGAGAAAATCTCGTGATTTCTATTATAGACAGATATGAAAATTATTTCCTTACCCTGTACCACAATGAGGAGAACATGCACTTCTTGATACGATATTCCACGTGAGACTGCAGTCATTGTTGCATTGTCTTTTCTCTGTTGCGCTTTCCACATCACTACTATCACAATACGTAGCATGGACCTCGACTCCTTTGTCCAAATCAACACATATGGGCTTGCGGTACTGAGTCCCCTCGCAGATTGAACTGCATTTAGACCAGCGTTTCTGATTGAGCCGCCAGCTGTATCTGGAAGGAAAGGACACACTGTGCAACCAGTGTAGAAATCAAAGTTAGTCGTTAGCTCAACATGCTGTTATAATATTAAAACATATATTTTATTATTGTTAACGTTTAGTTCCACAACATGAAATCACGAAACTTTGAAGCATATGTTAATAATTTTAAATGTGAATTATTGATGTGATTAAGTTGACGCCACAGCTATTACTAATGTAATATTCTTTTACCGAATAGATGCATTCTTTTTATTATTTTTTCTTTTTTTTTCAAATTAGGTCCAAACCAAACACATGCTACTTTACAGCCTTTAATGTTATATATTAGCTCAAAATGAGTTGCGATTAATCTATTATTATATTATCTATAGTTTAACATATTTTAAAAATAATATCGTACCTCTCCAGATTATTACAATTAATTATATATTAATACGATTAACATAGAATGTCAGTTATATTATATTTTTAGATATTAAGATTGTTTTAAACTCAAACATGCATTTTATTCACTGCAAATACATTTAGCGATATTTATGAAGCACTGACTTTATGTGAGATATGCAGTATTTTAAATTAAACAGGGTGTTTAAAAAACATGTGCCATCTCTCGTCGGGAGATTCCTCACGTAAAAATAAGATTTATTTTTCATGAGACATATTTTAATGCAAAAAAAGTGTCGCCATATTCACCAGGGACGTACATATGGGTTATCGCTGGAATATTTTTCTAAAAAAAGCATGTACGCCACTGACATTTTTCCTCTTATTAGAGAAATAATGTAAGACATTCAATGCCGATTAAAGGCTATCCGAAAGATGAACGCAATTTTATTAATTTGCTTTGATCCAAGTCTAACAGCAACTCTCCAAAAAATCCTATATGGGTATTTCGCCACTGCAAGAAAATCTACAAAATACAATAGTTATTTTTTTTAACTATTTTATAAAATAATATAAATAAAATAGTTAAAAAAATAACTATTTTATTTTGTAGGTTTTCTTGTAGTGGCGAAATACCCATATAGGATTTTTTGGAGAGATGAATCCACCACATAGGTATATAGACATTTTCTAATAGCAACCTTTTAAAAAAAAATAATATCATTAACTTGCGAAAGTTTTAAATAAGTACTATTTGATTCCTTATCAAAAAATATGAAAAAAAGTTCCTATAAATATAGTTATGGAAATGCATAGCTTTAAAATTACAGGATGTTAAAACTTTTTAAAATTAGGTCTTTTGAAATTATCTTAAATTCCATTATTTTTTTATTTTCAAAATATCTAACAATTTCAATCTTTTGTAGATATCACAAAACTATTTTTAATTTTTATGCATCAAATATACCACGATCGGAATACCGCTAAAGATAAGAAAATATTAAATTAGTATTTAGAATAACACAGAGATTTTTAGCCTAGATTTTTGACTGTAAAAGGATGTATATGTATAATCCGTTTAGCGATCGCTCAATATTACGTCATCATTATTAGTCAAATATTCGTTTTAGGGTGTGTCTGAAATCAGTTCATGTTCATATTGTTTAGAAAAATTTAAGTACGTTCGGAAATTATTTAATTGACTGAGTTTCTTTTTTATTAAATTCCTCTTTATTTATTTTGATTGTCTTTCAATTTATAACATTGAACGGTCGCTGAACAAAAAATAGTTTGCTAGAGATGTAAAAATACATATTTGGAAAATTAGGATAGTTAAGATTAGAGTATTAGAATAAAAATATTTTAATTTGGAATGTCTGAATAGTATTGGTATTTGAATGTAAAGTTAGTTAACATTGAACAATTACATCGAATTAGAATGACTAAAAGACAGATAAAGCTCTCGATCTTTTGCAAATACCTTGACAATCGGGAATTAAATGGCTGGTAGCGCCACGGAAACCTATTTTTGGGAGTCAAAATAAATAGGGTTGATTATATACAGTTTAGTAAATAATTATTAGTGTGCACTTCAAAATGCAAAATATTACAACTCCAAATCAAAAAACCAAAAGTACTTTTTTTTGTAGATAAAGGCTTGTAGTATCGGGTGTTGCATCGTCGGACGGGACATAGGAAATCCCATGTAAATTTTAATGGGGTCAATTATTGGCTTTCTATAGGTTTCTATTTAGGTTTATTGAAGAGCACTAAAACCCACATTCAAAAGAATAACTTTAGATATTTTTGATTAGCTCGTTTACGAGTTATCGCCGATTTCTTTTTAAATATTTCTCCTTTCTTATGGCCCTGTATTTACTTATGAGCACCAGTCAAGGTAAAAGATAACTGTCAAATGAAGTTGTCATTTCAGAAATTTACCTATTTAGTGCTTTATTATTATTGAAAACTCATTCCTACATCGGAAATCTTAAAGATCTATTTATAAATACAAATTAATATGAATTAAAGTAAAATAAAGTAATCAATTACAAGGTTAATTATAGTATTATTACAATATTCAATAACTTATTAATTTAGGTAATTTAGGTAAATTGTTAGAACTTTAGGATTTAAGAAGATGTTCAAATATTCCTCCATCGACTGCTATACAATAACCCAGGCGATCATAAAATTCCCTTCTTACATTCGCTAGTTGGTAAACTGAAATTCTATTGCATTCGGCAGAAATAGCATTTTTTAACTCGTCTAGATTTGGGTATTTTTTATCCTTGTATATCCTGTTTTTTAAATGGTCCCAGAGAAAGAAATCAATTGGCAAAATATCAGGAGACCTTGCTGGCCAATTTACTGTATGACTTAGGCCAATAACGTTTCCGTTAAAACTATTGTCTAAATATTCCCGAACAGCCAGGGTACTATGTGCCGGGCAGCTATCCATGTGGTACCAAACTTCCTGATTTACCCTAGCGGCATCATGTAAAGCAGGTAAAATATGATTTTCGAGTAGTTCCAAATAATATCCTGCATTTAAATTTCGCGTAAGAAATAATGGCTCGATCATATTGTGTCCGAATATCCCTGCCCAAACATTTACTTTCTGTGGATATTACGCTCTTGTTTCGACAAACCTGTGTCGATTTTCTTTGTTCCAGTATCGATACTTTTGAACATTGGGTTCATTATTTAAGGTAAACGTGCATTCGTCAGTGAAACATATGTTTTTTAAAAATTTCCTATCCGTGTTTGCTCTTTCCATCATATCAAAACAAAACGCCTGCCGCCGTATTTCGTCCCCATCTTGTAGCTCTTGGTGCTTTTCATATTTGAAGGAATAGTATTTGTGTCGTTTCAAAATTCGAAACGCTGTAGTGTGATCTATTCCTATTTCATCCTCAAGTTTCCTTGTGCTGATCTTTCCATCGTTCTCTTCGACGCACAATAAAACTTCCAAGTCGGTATCATTTCTTGCATCTCCTTTTTGTTCCTGCCTTGCTTCACATCTGCAGTTATTTATTAGGGTACCTTTGGTCTCAAATCTCTGGATATTCCTTGCGACTGTAGATTTTCGAGGTATCGGTCTATTCGAATACAGAGCACAAACATGTCCGACAACTTTTGATAACTATTTCCTTGATAATGCCATTTAATCATCAATATTTTTTCTTTGGTGGTGTAAAATTCATGGCTAATATTTTCGATGTAGGTATGAATTTTTAATAATAATAATAAAGCACTAAATAGATAAATTTCTGAACAGAGAGAAACTAATAACTAAAGTGACAGGGCTTGTGGAATAGGGCATTTCGTAGACAAGTTTATTTTGTCACCGCGCATCCCAGACGCGCATAGCGTTTAAGCGGTCAAAAAAGGAAGTATTCAACTTTGCAAGTTAAACATTTGACAGGATTAATTAGATTGTCAGTAGCTTTTTCTATTTCTTAGTTCTAGAAGAAGATAACTAAAATCTGCTGATAATCGGAGCAAATCGGAGTAATAAATTGTTTTTGACTGAATGTGCCTGTTCTTTTAGCTTGCCAGAAGAGAAGATTATTGTCATTATTGATTATTTCAGATTCTACGATTATTCGGCATTTTTGTAATTTTTGTTTTGTGGTTGAGACCCAGACAAAACGTTTCCTTTAAAGGTAAGTTTTATCTAGGTAATTATTTTAACATACCTAATAGTAATATTGAGTACACATAATAATCGTACATTGCTAATTTAATTTTTTTAATTTAAAACATCACATTCTTTTCTGATACCTATGGAACCTATGGTATTATACCTGATATTATTTCCAGTAATACAAATTATTTTCTTCAACCGCTAGGTTCTTGTTATAGAATAAGGACTATCAAAAACATTGAATACCTACGGGATACCTACTGATACTCTGTGCGAGCTCCCAACCGTGCTTCCCTGTTCACTCCCAACCAAGTTAGATAAAAAAGATACTGAAGATTGCAGCCTTGAGTGGGAGTATGGCAAGGAGTATGGAGTTAAATAAATTATTATGTTCCTACACAGCATTTTGTTTATAGGTTTTAATGCTTTAAAGTCTAATAATAAATTTTCGTTGTCAACAAAATAATTTAAAAAAACTACGAATATTTCTTATTATAAACTTGAAAGATTAAGATTCGGTTCAAATATGCAAATTTTAAATTTTTGGCGCCAGTATATAGGTATGCATGCAACCTACTAAAGCGATAATGCGCTCATAGTTCGGATTAGACGCCAAAGGCCGCGCCACTAACACAGTCTTCAAAAATTACCGTTGATCGGTCTCTCTCACTTTAGTTATTAGTGTTCTCTGTGTTTCTGAAATGACAACTTCATTTGACAGTCATCTTTTACCTTGACTGGTGCTCATAAGTAAATACAGGGCCATAAGAAAGGAGAAATATTTCAAAAGAAATCGGCGATAACTCGTAAACGGGCTAATCACAAATATCTAAAGTTATTCTTTTGAATGTGGGTTTTAGTGCTCTTCAATAAACCTAAATAGAATTATTCTCTAAAATAATTAGGGAAGCCAATAATAGACCCCATTAAAATTTACATGGGATTTCCTATGTCCCGCTCGACGATGCAACACCCGGTATAATATTATATTAAAAAAGTGTTGAGATCAGTATTCAAAAACGTTATTACTCAGGATGCATGTAAATCTGTTAAAATTATTTTTAATCAATTCGAAAATTTTGTATGAAACTTTAGAAAACTCACTACATAACTGATTATTTTTTTTTTAAATTAGTAATTCGCGTGACACTATTGCATGAAAAAAATAGTAGTGTGTCTAAAGCTTCATTCAGAACCTCCCAATTAGTGGAATAAATTAGTGGTTTCAATTACACTTTATACTTTTTAGTTTACGATCATTCACAATATCTAAAAAACACAATTAAAATTAATAAAATATTCTAGCAACAGTTTGCGGTAGTCTGTTGTATCCATAGAGAAAGCATAATATTTAGCTTATAAAACAATAAACTTTTGATTTCTAACCAAATTTTTTCTTGACGGGTGATAATCAAAGGTCAAAATGACATTTATCGCAAATTTTGAAGTATAATTAGTGGAAAAGTCAAAGGTTTGTTAACTTTTTCCACTAATTGAAAATTACTACCACGCATTCTGACGTTCTGAATGCTTACATTAAAATTAGGTGAACAAATTTTTACACTAAATTGAAACTACTAATTTATTCCACTGATTTGGAGGTTCTGAATGAAGCTTAAGTTTTTCACAATTGCACTTTTTTACAGTTTTTTTTTAATAAAAAACAGAATCAGCTAGCTGAATATGTGCAAACATGTCAATTTTTCAAAAATTACTTCTCATAAAGTAAAAAATAACATGACAATGTAGGAACCACGTATTAAAAAATCTGAAGTTGTTTATATTCTTGTGTTTATAATAGTTGTGCAGAACAAGCTTTCATGCATTATTAATTCATATTTGTGCTTCATTTCTATTCTACCTCAACAGTGTATCGGTAACTAGTAAGTAAGCAATCTTTATTTATATCTAGATGTTGCTGAACCATTAATTTTATTAAAATTTATTATAAATGACTAAAGAAATATCTAGTCCATTTGGAAAGTTTAGAAAGCACACTTCAATATATATGACTTATATGATGCATATGCAGGGTGTCCCAATATTCCGTAGACATAGAACTACTATGAATTTTTAAAATCAAAATAAGTGCATTGGACATGACACAATTTACCTCTATATAAAAGTGCTTCGTTTGTGCGTTAGAGCGTACCACACCCCTACATAAATTTTATTATCCATATTTTTCGACTCCACCGACGACCATTTTTTTTCTCGTAAAATCTCTTTCCTAATTATTATTACATCGTCCTTCTAATTTTTATTACATTTACTGATTCTTGTAAAAAACGCCACTGTGTATACTTTATTTATCCTTTTTTCAAAAAGTAAAAAAAAAATTCAATTTTCAAATTTTACTGAAAAAATCGGCCATCTGTGGAGTTGGAATATATTTTTACTAAAATGTATTGGTGGGCAGATGGAAAATATTCTAACTAAAATGTAGAGGTGGGGATAGTTTTCAGATTTCCCATACTTTCTCTTGATTTTTATGAAAGTCAAACTTTAAAGCACTTAGCAAAACATAAACACACAAAATCTCATTCAAATCGGAATAACGGTTATAAAAATATCTTAAAAACTGTGTTTATTTTTTTAAAGTTTGATACCCTCTAACGGACAAACGAAGCACTTTTGTATAGAGGTAAATTGTGTCGAATGAACTTATTTTGATTCCAAAAGTAGATAGTAGTTCTATATCTACGGAATATTAGGACACCCTGTAAAATAATGTTTGTTGAGGTTAGGAGTGAAACCTTGGGGTGCATTTACACATTTCCGAACAGATTTTAAAGAAACTAATTTCAATTTTATAGTATATCTCCTATTATTATTCTATTATTTAGTTTTATTTTACTTTTAATGCCAAACATGGTTCAAAATATAATATACACACTTATATTGAATTTATACATATTTGGAGTTGAATGAAATCTCTCAATTAATTGAAAAAAACTTACCTAGGAGCTGCCTCTTTGCTTATTAGATATCGATATGTGATATCGGGGGGTGACAGATTTTTTATAGACAGTACTTCCACCACAAGGTCCTTGTGCAACTTTTGGTTTCTTAGTGTTGTAATTCTTTCCACGAGAGCCGAGCTACCGCTATACTTGATGATCGTTTGGCCATATTCAACTTCCATTTCCTGTATCATCAACATCTGATCACCATTAAGAATGTACGCACCTGTTTCGCCATCTCTTAAAGCTAAAAGGCGTTTTTGGAATTTAATATAAAAAAGAATAAGTCCATCATGAAGTCCATCTATTAAATTTTACCCAAAAAATTTTCATCACTATTGTGGCTAACTTGTCGAACATCGATATTAGAGCTACCTCTGGGTATGCGGACTACTTTGTTATAACTGACTTGATCAGCAGTTTTGTTATACGCTCCAGATATTTCTTGACAAGTGCTGTTGTCGCCGTTACATACACCACATTCATCTTTAAAATAAAATTATTTATGAATTATCTATTCTTAATAATGAATATTCTGTTACCTAAAACATTCCCAGAGTCGAGTCTATTGTCACACCCTCCATGTTTACACACCCCATTAACGCAAATGCCGAAACCCGATTTTCCACATTTAGTACCATCTATTACTTTATCTTTCAAAGCATAATATGCCGATGAGTGGCTTGGTTTGCAATATAACTTACAGAAGTCATCTGAACGTTCCATCGAACCTAGAATGGTTGCTTTCAGAATTAATTACAAGTTACATTTTAAAGTATTCTATTACCCAATCCGTATTTTGGCACCCATTCAACATCAGCTTTTAGATTCGGCAAACTCTTTGTAATTCCATTAAATTCGGCACATTGGACTTCCCTAAAAAGTACATAACACAAAGAGATTTTTTTATATACTATTGATTTTTTACAATAAATATTTACGCGGATAAATACGATAATACAATTATTTCTACAACGATTATTTGTATTTGTAGCCTGTAGCCTTAAGGGTCTATTATACAGGGTTGTTCACAACATACGACACGGAGTATTGTAGCTAAACGATTAGATTTTTATAAATTGTAAGTTTTGGGTTCGTTGAAGGACTATTAGAGCTACAATTTAAAAATATTTTTACAACATACAGAGTGTCCCAAATAAGTAAAAACTATTAATAGTTGTATTTTTCTAAACGTAACACCCTGTATATTATTCTATTTTTAGATTCTACGATTGAAATGAAGGTAAATTTGATTGAGGTTTATCACACTTAAACCTTACCGTTTTTGAAATATTGTCAATTTTGTGAAATTGCAGTAAAAAATTTAAGGCTTCATTTCTCCAAGGGTATCAAAGTTTTTAATACTGAAGATTATTTATTGATCAGATATTGTGTTTCAATAATAAAAATTATATCACCTTATAAAGAGTGTCCAAAAATTTATATTAAATAATTCCTAGCTTTAATAACTTGTTTAGTTTAAATGGAACACCCTGTATATTTTACGTGAAGCAGATGCTCAATTTAATCGTCTATCAAATTGTATTATACCATTTTTTACCTATCTTTTCAAGTTTTTGTAAAAAATGCACAACCTATGGAATATTGACATTTTAGATTTTTTTTCAAGCAACCAAAGCAAGCAACATACGTACAAAATGTACAGGTGGTAAAAATAATAATATTGCAAGCCTATTTTTTACAAAAAGAAAACTATTTAAATCATTGTAAAAGAGTATACCAATTAAATATACTACCATTTTTTCCGCCCAAAAATTAGTTAATCGCACTACTGAATTGTTTTAATTATAATAAATTATTCTAAATAAATGTGGATTTGACTCAGAAATCAATATAGGTCAAATCAATAATAATTTATGAAAATGAACGTCTCTGTTGTTATAAATAAGTATTCGTCAAAAAATTAAATAAAATTTATAAGGTGTTACTTTTTACCACACTGTCTAATACACATACAAAATTCGATTTTTTAGTACCGTATGATCGAATAAAAACGGCGTCCAGTTGGCTTGGAAGTGACGATCGATGACATTTCCCATATAAATTTACATATAAAATGACAGCGATTTTCATTTCATAGCCATCGCTGACGCCGTTTTTATTCGATCATACGGTATTTGGAACAGTTATTACTAATCAACGTAAACAGCCAATTAATGTAGTTTGAATAGCGGGATCATATTAATTGGTCCTCTTTAACAAAAATTATTTAAACATTTATTTTTTTTTATTTTTTTAACGAAATAAGCGAACTATATCGACAATATTAGTGTCTGCTACCCTTTGAAAATTTGTTACATATTTAAAAATAATCTAAAATGTCAATATTCCATGGGTATAGTGATAAATGAGGTTTAAATTATAAAAAAAGCATTTTCTACGAAAACTTGAAGAGATAGGTAAAAAATGGTATAATACGATTTAATAGGCAGTTAAATTGTGCATCTGATTCTCGTAAAATACACAGGGTGTTCCGTTTAAATTAAACAAGTTATTGCGGTTTAAAGCTAATAATTATTTAATATAAATTTTTAGACACTCTGTATAAGATAGTATTTTGTTTATTATTGCAAAACAATATCTGATCAATAAATAAACTTCAGTAAATATTTAGTATTAAAAGCTTTGATACCCTTGAAGAAATGAAGCCTTAACATTTTTACTGCAATTTCATAAAATTGAAAATATTTCAAAAACGGTAAGGTTTAAGTGTGATAAACCTTAATCAAATTTACCTTTATTTTAACCGTAGATCCTAAAAATAGAATAATATACAGGGTGTTTCATTTAAAAAAATACAACTATAATATTTTTTACTTATTTGGGACACTCTGTATCTTGTAAAAATATTTTTAACTAGTAGCTCTAATAGTCCTTCAACGAACCCAAAACTTACAATTTGTAAAAATATAATCGTTTAGCTACAATACTTCGTGTCGTATGTGGTGAACAACCCTGTATAAATTACACGTAATCTCTATTATTAATAAAGGAGAGTTACCTAAAGTCTTTTGTTTTTTCATCACAATCTTGAGTATTGCATGACCTATATCTGGCACTCCTCCCAGTACAGTATTTTCCTCCATGTTCAGGACTGGGTCGATCACAAGCCCTTATTGATTTAGAAATGCCACCACCACATGTTCGACTGCATGGTCCCCAACTAACATCCAATATTAACTACATAAGTATATTATACATTTTTATTTTCTAATGTTGACGACATATACTTTCAATTTCAAAAATCCGGAACCAATAGAAACATTTCTTACTGTACTCAGCTTACTTATTTATTTTAGAATAAAACGTGTTACTTATTTATTTTAGAATAAAACATAAAAATTTATGTGTTGACATAAATGTTGTTATAATTTTCGTAGCTCCCACTTGAATTCAGTATCTCAATCTCTTGGCTTTGTAAAGTTTTATCACAAAGCTAGCAGACCTCCCTTCAGCTTATCATTATTTCTAATTTGATAAATTAATGTATGATAAAGTAATAATATGGATATTTTTAGAACATGATAATCATGTTTCCTCTCTATAAAAGTACAATGTTTATCAAACTTTATCTTCTATATTGAGATTAAAACTTAAACGTTCTGCCTATTTTTATAAGAATATTCTTAGGTATGAAAAAGATACATGAAGCCAATATGTGATCTATGATTGGATGACATTGGCTGAATTTTTAGTAAATTAACCATCAATGTAAACTCATGTATATCATACCAGAAGTAAAATTTTGATGAAACTGTTTGACAAATCGAGTTGTGTTCAACAACCGTGTATGTTTTATCTACCGACTTACCTGTGCAATAAACTTAACACTATAATTTAATATAATATTAAAAATTTTGGTTTAAACCATGTACTTGTATGAAAATATGTATATGTCTGAAATACCATGATTTTGATTAGTTTAATTTTTGAAAAAAGTTTAAGATTTGTGTGAAAATTATTAATCTGAGATATCTCGTCATACTAATTTACATGACACTATGAATTATTTAAAATCTTGATTATTTTTCAAATTTTACAGAATTATACTTACTCTTGCCATTGGCCCCAGTCACCATCTATCGGTACTAATTGTCTGCGATCCATTGCAACACATTCTCTTTTGTAACACCAGCTACAATTAAATATATATTACATTTTACTTGAATAATTTTTTTATAATGTAGGATATTTACCTATAAGGTCCACATTTCGTGCCTTCAGCCCACGGAGAAAACTGGCTGTGACAACTACCACTTGAGTCTCTACACCAAAGATGACCGCATGGTCTCTACAGAAGAAATAAACTCTGTTTTATATTTAACAATAAAATCAGAAAATTCCAAAAAGAACAATCGTCAAAAAGTTCCCCAAATAAGTATAATATTTACAGTTTGACACCAGAAATAATAAAAAGAACAGACAACTAACAAATTATAATTTACAACATATTATAAATTTTTGCTACAGAATATTTTATTTACTGAAATTAGTTCGTTTTTTTCTGTCCAAATATAAAACAAATACAACTGAAATATTCATATAAACATTTTCTATTTACAAACAAATGCAAAGATATAAGTTCTCTGTCTAATTTTGTTTATAAAATGAGAATCATGTTCTCAAAAATTATGTAGATTTAAAATTACAGAAGAACTAAATTCTACATGACATTTTTTAATTCAAGAAATAAGTTGTTGTTCTCGGAATAAATATAATTATTATTTATGTATGACACGATGGCCAGAAATAATAAAAAGAGCAAACAAATTTTAATTTACAGCGTTCTGATTGCCTGTTACATTATATTATCTATTCGCTAATATGATTTATTTGGTTTTTTATATCCATATACACAACAAACATAATTATACATAAATAGATACAACGATAAAAGTTGTATGTATACCATCATTTATAAAATGTAAATCATAATTTTATAAATTATGTAAAATATGATTATTTCAAATTAATAAAATAAAACATGCATTATATAAATAGAAACAATGCTTTAGATTAAATAAAGTAAGCCAAGGAAAACTACATATATTGCTAAATTTCGATGTACTTAATATACTTTTGTTACTTTTTTTATGGACTTACATTAAACGAACCACTGCACATTCTGAATCCTGGTGCATATTCTAATTCACATTGGGTATCGACTGCAAATACATCTCCAGGTAACATTTGAGAGTAGTTTGAAAGGATTTCATTTCTTGAGGGTGGATTGAGCAAACAATTTGATCTTGATGAGCTGTTAAAAATAGAGAATACGATTGTAATGCCAAAGAACAAATAATATTGTTATTACTCAATAAATCGTTAACATTTATATTAAAAATATTCTTAACCATAATTATGAAAAATATAGTATATATAGCTAATCATTCAAAAAAACGGCGTTCAGGTGGCTTGGAAAAGAACATCGATGACATTTCCCATATAATTTTAAACTGACGCCGTTTTTTTCGATCATATTGTATAAGTAAGCGTTCACCAATAAATAATTCAAAGAAACTTCTCTAATTGTTCCATAATTATCTACATGAATTACAAACGTAATTCTGTAAAGAAGAAAATTATTTACCGAGAACTATTTTCATTAAATGCATCGTCGAAAGTGGGTTAATCTCTTTAGATTACTGTTTTTTGCAATAAATACTAAACATTCTATAAATAAGTCATGGTTAACCCAGATATTTAACTGTCAGAACAATTAAGAAAATCTACAATCATATAATGGAGTAGAAAATTTTAAAAATTAAGAGAAATATTTCAAAAAATACAAAAGTATATATCAAGAAAATATTTGGATATATTTTTGACTATAATACGCTTTTTGAATATAGAAATCAAAATAGCTATTGATTACTGACCATTTTTCTATTTATATCTTTATATTAATATATCTACTTACTCTAAAAATTCTGTGGCATAATGTCTCGAGCAATTTGACCACATAAAAGGTTTAGAATCGTTTCTAGTTGTCCTGCTCATAATATTGTTGGTTTTGCTATGTTTGTTGTGCGAAGAGCACTTCTTATCATCATCATGAGGCATACTAAACAAAAACATGGAATCATAAGAAAATAAGTAAGATAATAATTATTTTTTATACAAGACGATAAAATGGTATCTTATCGTGTCGACCGAAAAGATTTTTTTTCTAGAAAAGAATTTCGGGTGACGATAATGCAATTTTATCGTCGTGTATAAAACAATATTTTTTTCCACAGCGAGTTACGTTTTAAAAAATATTCAGAAATTATTATTTCAACGAATTTATTACGAGTAGAAAAAATATTGTGCTGGGTTGGCGTTGGTTTCTATATAATTTGACAAATAACTAAAGCTGTCTCTTTAGTTGTCAGTTTTCAGTCAATATTTTTTAATTCTCTTTCGTGTCGATTGCTGATTGAATTGGAGCCAGAAATGGCTCAAAACGAAATAAGTAAATTACCAACATATATTCAGGCTGAGGCGACAAACGCCATATCCAAATTACTTCCATTTAAATCCCGAATAACTTATGAAAAAGAATACAAACATTTTCAAAAATGGAAGCAATTAAAAAACGTGCGAGAAGAAATAAAGTTTTTAAACTATCCCCTCTGTTAAAGTATCATTTAATCTACCCTTGCGGTTAAAGTACTGTTTTATCTACTATTTTTGATAGATATAAGGCAATTTTAACAGTTGCTATGGAAGAAAACTAAAAATGTGTTTAATGTTTCTATATAGCGAGATAATATAATATAGTCTGCTTAATGGTAGAAAGATGACAGTGACAGTTGTGTGTCATTTTAAGTGTCATTTTATTTCATGTCGTCTATCCTAATCGTTCCTTCTCTCATGAGACAGACTTTATATGATTGAGGGCGTTTGTCCATTAGATTAAAGTTACAATAATATAAGTACTCTTTTTTAACAATAAAATTATCTAAATGGAGTTAAAATAGTTTAATATAAAATGACAATAAAAAAATAAAAAACAAATAAAATGACATCTCTCGCCTAAAATAAAACAGAAAAACAATACTTTCTCCATCGGACATACTCTATATAAAAACTAATGTGAGTTTTACCTCATAGCGTGCCCAAATTCGTGAGCAATAGTATATGAAGTGGACAATCCTTTGTCTCGTACTATGGTGCATCCTGAGGGCCTACACATGGAGTCAACTTCAGCGACTCCTAGAGTGGCACAGGACGTGGTATTCTTACAGATTGCTCGTCTAGTAAAATTATTCCATTAATATAAATTTGAGATTGTAGTGTAACAATAATAATAATTACATAATTAATACCTATATTATAATTTATGTACAGGGTGGTCGAAATTGGTCTGTTTTAACAGAGAAAGCCTATTTTCTGACTAGATAGAGCCGAAACGTAGATGTTATGGGTACGATTTCTGAGACACGTTTAATGACATAAACCACCTGTTGATATTTTCACTGTCAACTGAGATACGGGGTCTTTTTGAATTTTTTACCATTTTAAAAATTGCCCATAACTTTTTTATTTCACGGAATAATAAAATTCTGTAAAGACGTTCTTAAGGCACTTTTTTAAGCACAATCCAGTGGCGTAGTCAGTTTTTTTCTATACTTGTTCTTTTTGTCAGAAATAATAAAAATATAATCATTTAAATGGAAATCATAGTTGGCTATGAACTTAAAAAAATGCTGATGTTTAACCCTTTCCAACGATATAAAGTTATGGGTATTTATTTCTAAGAATGAGAGAAATATTAGGGTTTTTTATCTTTGTATCGAAGCGGGCCTTAATTTTGTGTTGGCCTAGTTGCCTAATTATTTTTTATCGCAATTTAATATTCTATATTATTATTTACCTGCAAAATTAAACACTTTTGAAATGATATATCAACATTCTATATTAGTTTTACCAATTACAATTAAAACGCCATTAAATGGAGAATTTAGAGAGAATCGGATTAGAACAAGGGGCCAACTGCTAGGTCCTGTGATTTAACTTCTTTCGACTTTTTTATGGGGGAAATTAAAAGACCTTATATATTAAGGGAAGAACCATTGGGACGAGAGAAGAATTGCAGAATGCTACTAGGCAACCTTTTGGACTTATTACACCAGTTCGCCTAATAAATCGCTGTGCGCAAAAGATTTTTATTATGTATTCAACCAGGAGGTGCTCAGTTTGAACATCTTAGATGATGTTTTTTTAGAAAACTATATTCGTCACTCAAAAAATACGTTTTTAGCTTTGTTCTTTGTTTATTGTATCGATTTCAATTGTAATTACTAAAATTAATATAGAATGTTAATTTACCTTTTCAAGAGTCTTTAATTATGCAGATGAATAATAATATAGAATATTAAATTGCGATAAAAATAATTAGACAACTAGGTCAATACAAAATCAAGGCACACTTCGATACAAAGATGAAAAACCTAATATTTCTCTCATTCTTAGAAATAGATACCCATAACTTTATATCGTTCGAAATGGTTAAACGCCAGCATTATTTTAAGTTCATAGCCAACTATGATTTCCATTTAAAAAATTATATTTTTTATTATTTCTGACAAAAAGAGCAAGCACAGAAAAAACCTCACTACACCACTAGATTGTGCTTAAAAAAGTACCTTAAGAACGTTTTTGCAGAATTTTATTATTCCGCGAAATAAAAAAGTTATGGGCAATTTTCAAAATGGTAAAAAATTCGAAAAGACCCCGTATCTCAGTTGGCAGTGAAAATATCAGGCGGTTTATGCCATTAAACGTGTCTCAGAAATCGAGCCCATGACATCTATGTCGGGTTTGTTCTATCTAGTCAGGAAATAGGTTTGCTCACAAAACAGACCAATTCCGACCACCCTGTCCTTTTTTATTATGTAAAAATTTTAAAATATTGTATTAATTGGAGTTTTTTACAAATATAATTTAATAAAATAAATAAAATATACCTAGTTAAAAGGAGAGCTACATCATGTGAAGTGTCTGTAATATGTTTTTGCTTCCACTTACAGAATCCAAATAACATATCTAAAAAGGATAATCTAAGCTAATATAATCAAAATTATACTATACAGTAAAACAGTTATTTACCTTGCGAGAGAGAATTAGAAAAATTATCCACAGGATAGTCCAATATTCTAATATGAGCAACTGAAACGCTAATAGCATTTCCAATTGAAGGTTCCTTAAATAAGAGGGCAACCTAAAATATAAAGAATTTTACTATACAGGGTGTCTCAGAAATAAGTGCAAGTATTTTAACGGGCAGTACTTCTATAGTTCGACCCCAGGAATAAATAAATGTTTATTTTTCTTGACATTTTGCGAACAAAAAAAAATATATTTTTCTTGACATTTTCCGGAAAATATGGAAAAACTTTTGAGTACCGCTTGTTCTGGTTCCGGAAATGTGTTTATAGTGCTTCGAGAGAATGCAATGTTGCCACCTCCTATGTTATTCAGATATTGTTATTGTATTATATGTTATTCTGTATGTTTGTAAGTTATAAGTCTACTATATTTTAAATACCATTTTTACAGTTAGTAAACTGAAATAATAAAACTAAATAGTGAACAATTATAGCAGCATTTCAGTAGTTTAGAATCAGCCCTCTCTATTAGATATGTAAATAGTCAACATTTGACATACATTTAAACAGATCAGCTGATGGAATTTTTAGGTTCTACAATTCATTAGAGATTTTACTCAAAACAGTAAACCTTTATGACAAAAATAAAAAAAAATAGACAAATCATAAAACAAAGGTATCTAAGCCTGTAAAAATATTTTTATTATTCAAATACAAATATAAATTATTTTGGTGGTTATTCACAAAAAAAATAGTGTGAGATAAAAATAGAGGAGTTTAAATTCTCAAAAATAATCCATATAATTCGGATGGCATATTAATGTGTTTTGTGCCAAATAACAGGTGGGTATTTAAGTGTAGTGCTAGGGAATCACAGTGAAACGGAGTTAACACTTCGTTAGAGAGCTGTTTTATCGCTTTACCTAAAACAGCAACTCTACACTTAATAACTTAAGTGGAGAGTTGCTGTTTTAGGTAAAGTGATAAAACAGCTCTCTAACCTAATTACATCGTCTACTGTCTATCTGAATCCCGTTTTATAACGTTAGGTAAGTTTTTTGCTTTAATCTGAATTTTCCAATTCGTTTTAAATCTTTTTAGTTGATAGTGTCAATACTGGGCGTCGAACAAGCTAAGAATCTGGTAATTGCTTTGTATTTGCGGCTGATTATCGATTGCCGTCGGCGGCTCTCAAAATGTTGGCATTATTTTTTTGTTGGCATAAATTTTCAAAGTTAAATAACTCGGTTATTATTAATTTGTTTTAAAAATGGTAAAGAGAAAATATGTTTCTTTTGGCCAGGTCTACCACCCCTTAAAATACTTGCATTTATTTCTGGAACACCCTGTATATTCATATTGCCTAGTATTATATAAATAATAAATACTACATTTTTTAGTAACACTGATTACTAGAAATAAAATATGAAAAAATCTAAAAGTTAGAAATTATGTTTTCAGGCAATTTTTGGTACTATTAAACAATACTTATTCTTAGAATAAGCATATATGTAGGGTTTTTTGGCCCCTTTTTCCGCTCCTCGTATTATGTTTATTTATATATACCCTACCTAAGCCTTCTTAGCTCCATCTACGGTAACGTGGATGAAGCAAGCAAATACTTATTCTGTTACAGTAACATCTGTTTGAAACAAACAATAGATATCCTGTTTATTTCGATCACATATATTTATTCTGAATCCAAGATGCATTAGAATCTTTTAGCATTAGAGCTTGCATTAGTATAGTGTCTAGAGAACTAAACTATTTAAAAATACTGTAGTGTTTAAATGAAAAGCAGACTGAAAATTCTATAGTTATTACAGTTGAGGGTTGGAACCTTTGGTGTTACGCAACAAAATAAAACACTAAATCACCACACTACACCAAAACACTTTTACTTTTACACTGGACGCGCGTTTCGCTAACCAAGTTAGCATCATCAGCACATGATTATAAACTAATTAATTTGAGTTGTAGTTGTATTGTGGTGATTTAGTGTTTTATTTTGCTTATTCTATAGTTACTTGTTACTTACATGAGACATTAATACTAAAATATATTTAGTTAGATCTTCATAGGTTTGGTGATACTCGAGCATGGTTCGATCTGCAACAACTAACACTTTAACAAAATACTCATTACTGGCTTTAGAGAAAACACTATAATCGGTATTTCGAGCATGCCTTAAATTTTCCGCGTTACTATTTTCTTCATTTCTAACGTAATCGTAAAGTATGTCTTCATCTAAAGCAATATCACGCTTTCTGATTGTGTGATGTGTTTGGACCACTTCTTCTGGAAAATCATCTTCAATAATCGAATGTGTACCTAGAAAAGAAAAGAGTAATTATTTTACAGAATTGCGTTACCTAGTTAATAAACGAATAAGGATAAAAAAAACTTAAATACGTAAAAGAGAATGAGTAATTTGATGCTAGGAATTCTTAAAAAAGCATAGAAATTGGAGTGCAACGCATTTCAGTGGAATACATTGGAGTGCAGTCAAGTAATTATAGATTTTTTGCCGAGAAATATCACTAACAACCGACTATAGGCATAGACTATTCTGCCAGAGACTATTACAGGGTCTCGATAGTACAGCAGAGGTGGGCACAGATTTTACCTTTGTACAGGGTGGGTCAAATTCGACGGTTTTAAATGGAAACACCCTTTTCTATAGGAGATAGACAAAAACTAATATCGATGTCTGGAGCACAATTTTTGTCAAAAACGTGATGGTGAAAACCGCATATCGATATCTGTTACCGTTTCGGAGTTACGGGGTGTTTTTCAAAAATATGTATTTTTAACAAATCGCTGTAAATTTTTTGCTATGGAAATTTTTGTATTTTTATGAAAACATTTCCAAAGCACCTTTTTACATAGAATTTAATGGGTTAAGTATATTTTTTTTTAAATTAATAATTTAAGAGTTATCAACAGAAAAATTGATTTTTTCTTTGGGACACCCTCTATATTTTTAATTAACAGAAAAGAATTTAAAATTACCTTTCCAAAAATATAGCACACTTGATATTTTGTTATAATCTCCTTCGAAATACGGAATTTTTAAAAGTTCGCCACTTTTAACTAGTAGGCTTTGGACCCCTTATTAAAGATATGCCCTTAATGGAACTCGAAAACATATTTTTTCAGCAAGACGACGCACCAACGACAAGCCTCTGAACGCTGAAGTTATCAGCAAATTTTTGCAGCCAATTTCAAGAATAATTGAATAGCTAACCAAGATCCCAGCCGTTGGCCGTTGAAGCCGCCTGACTTAGTGCCCATGGATCAAATCCTATGGATATATTTAAAATATATAATAATATAAAAAATATATATTATAAAACAATAAATATATAATAAAATAAATATCTATTATAAAAGAATAAAGGTTCCTTATTCTTCCGTATAATCTAGACAAGAATTAGAAATACTTAGCAGTTATGAGAGGGTATCTTTCACCCCCACTGAGTTAATGAATTCCGCGAGAAATGTTCAAAAACTGCCCCGTCTGTCCATTACAGAAGACGGTCGATATGTCGAACACCTGTAGCAAAATCTCATGTCTTGGTTTGCTATTTAGTTTTATTGTTATTAGATATAGTTTAAATGTGTTGATGTTGGTTAAATATATTTTAAATTGTTATAAAATTCTGCATCTCTCATAGCAAGTACCGTATGATCGAGAAAAAACGGCGTCAACGATGGCTATGAAATGAAGATCGCTGTCATTTTATATGTAAATTTATATGGGAAATGTCATCGATCGTCATTTCCCAGCCAACTGGACGCCATTTTTATATACTCTATATCTCGCAGAGGAATAGAGCAAAATATCAAGTGTGTTATATTTTTGAAAGGTAATTTTAAATTCTTTCAATAAAATATACAGGGTGTCCCATATAAAAAATCAAATTTTCTGTTGATAATTCTTAAATTATTAATTTTAAAAAATTATACTTAAACCATTAAATTCTACGTAAAAAGGTGCTTTGGAAATATTTTCATAAAAATACAAAATTTTCCATAGCAAAAAAGTTACAGCGATTTGTTAAAAATGCATATTTTTGAAAAACACCCCGTAACTCCGAAACGGTAACAGATATCGATATGCGGTTTTCACCATCATGTTTTTGATAAAATTTGAGCTTCAGACTCCGATATTAGTTTTTGTCTATCTCCTATAGAAAAGTGTGTTTCCGTTTAAAAGCGTCGAATTTGACCCACCCTGTACATTTGAAAGAGTGTTAAAATTGAAGATGGTTTAAATAGTTATCTTAGAAATGACTCTTTAATTTTCTGAATTGACATACGAATCTTTTATTAAGTTCTCCAGTTACTCATTAACTTAACAAGAAATACACATTGTTTTACATTTTATCACGTTATTACCCGCTGTTAACATCTTCATTATTAATGATGTTTAAGATTATTTGATAAAATAATTACATGTTTTATAGATTAAACATAATAAAAAACCCAAATCAATGGTTTATGTAGTTGTAATTTATTTTAATCGGCAGAACATGATCATTAATCGTTTTATAAAACACGAGTCATCAAAGGAGAAAATAGATATCGGGTAAAGTAAACGAAAGAGTGCCTATAATTTATTTTAATCATTTGTCAAGGTGTTAAAATTGTTGATAGAGGAATTAACAATAATTAACGTTCTTTCACAACACATCGACGACGTACTGTTTATATTATATAAGTAATGAGACAGGTATGTATTGGACATTTTTTCAATCTGAATTCAATTAACTTCTTCAATCAATTTACACACAAGGTCAACCAAAATGACAATAATGTCGACTTGATATTTTTTCAAAAGAGGTTCGTACTATAAAGATGACAGTTATTATGGTTATATATCCTTAATGTCGCATGTTAAACTTTATTGTCTATATAACAAGGAAATAAATAAAATTAAATTATATCGATACCATTTAAACTTTCAGTTACGTAATCGAGAGCTCGATTATTAAATTCATTGTTGCCAACCATGAACATATTCGGGCGCCGGCCGGCGCCGGGCTGGACTAACTGGAATTTAAATTTCCCGATAGGGATTCAGATGGTGTGATGATTTTGATACATTAGTTTTTATTACGAGTTTTTGGTTTAAATGAACTGTGTTGTGATAATTTAAGCTTATAAACTTTAACTAGCAGACCTCGCAGTCGAACATTGTTCATTTTCGAACCTTGAAGAAGATAGCTTTTTAGAAGATAGCGTAATAGCTGTAAAAACTCATCGCAACTTTATTAGAATATTTTGAACGGGAAAGCGGTAGTAAAAAGGCCCTTCCCAACTAGCATTTATAGTGGCAGGTACGTAACTGCTACTATCAAAGCCACTACAAAGTGGGCGGTGACTATCGGCGGCTACGTCGTACATTCGTAGCTGCTAAGTAACTGCGACCAAAATGTGGAAAGATTTTGAGTAGCCGGGTAGTGTCTTGGGTAGTTTTTGCCACTAAAAGAGTTACTATGATGTGCTACTATAAAGTAGCCTACTGGTGAATGCAACTTCTACGTTACGAAGCTGCCTAGTCGCGGGTTCGTGGCAGCCAAGTGTTATCCACCGACATGTGGAACTTTCGTTAAACTGTTGAACTTTATTCGCAGCGACCTCTTCAAGCAATTTCACATTTCATAAAAATAAATGTCTTGATGGAAAATAATTATGGAATCCATTATTATTTTTTCGTTATTTACCGTGCGATTTTAACGCCTTTTTTAGGTCATTTCCAGAACGCAATCAATTTTACTGAATAAAATAGCGGGTTTATATAACAAAATTTTCGAGCGCCTCTCAAAATATTTCAAATTATTATATTATTTGCAATAGAAACTCATGTAGTAATTAAGAAATAATAATAATTTGCTTAAAATATTAGTCCACCATCAGAAATAACAAAATAACTAATGAAAAAAGCTTTAATCTAGGTATATTTAGCTTAAAAACGCATAATGTTTGAGCCATTTGACTGTTAAATTAAAAATTCATGAAAAATGTGGCCGTTTAATCCGAAAAATAATTTCTAGTTCCATATGCTTCCACAAAGTACCAGGAACAATAACATATTAGGCCAACCCTACCCGTTTGGACCTTTAAAATCTTCGGATTGATAAAGTGACAATTGTTGCTAACCAAAGGCGACTTTATAGAAACAATAACTTTTTTGGAACTACATGGTCAAGGATTCTTTGGAACCATAAAGTGATTTTTCCAAGAAAGTTCCCTGCGCCACCAAATTGCCACTTAATTGGAGCGTTATGCTACACCGATCGCGGCGGTGGCGACTATACATTCCATTGGTGCCACTATAACGTTCCGCCTTGTCCTTTGAAGTTATTTTTTACTTATTGTGCCTTTTCTATTATTAGTGTTTCTATATTATTCAGAGCTACATGAGGTATACAGTATTTTAACCTCCACTCAAATTAGTTCTCCTCTGAGATTCAGTCTCAGATGAACTAACACTACACTCATCTACAGAAACAGCTTCAAAAATGTCATAGTCTCTACCTGATTTATGATGTTCATCAGTAGGATTCTTCGGTAGAAAGTACTAGAATATCTAAATTTCTTTTTATTCGCTTTAGGCATTTTACAAAATTTTAATTTACACACTAAACACTAAAACACTAATTAAACACTAAAACAGAGCAGCACACAATGCAATCTGAAGAAATTACTTTTATTAGGGTATATTAAGTTACGGTCACTATAAAGGAGCCGTTTTTGACCCCCATGACTTTTTAGTGGCAATGGATGAGCGACGGCTACTTGATAGTGATCCAGGAAAGTAGCAGTAACCATTTTGCTACTTTCAATGCTACTATAAATTAGTAGTAACTAGGTGTCGTGGCCACGACCACCCCGTAACTTAAATTGTTACTATAAAGTAACAAAAACTTAATGGAGGCATTATTACTCGTTAGTAACCCCTACTTTGAAAAGTTACTATAAAGTTTTTGGTCTTTTATGGTGTCATATTCGAATATTCGGGTAGTTCCAGCTACTTCTTTAAATTACATGTTTGCGACTTGCAATGGGGGTGTTTATTTTCCACTTTTATGGTAGGTAGGCACTAACCGGTCACTCTCGAAATATACTTCAAAGTGACTATTCCTTATAGAGTAACATTTTAAGTGGCAGAGTGGTCCTAGGAACTATACTTTAGGGGCAGTGACATTTTAAAAAGGACTGGGAACTATATTTGCTAGTTGGGTTTATGCCCCTGAACTGCTGTTAAGGAGGTGAGTTTTATTGATGTAAATAATAATTGCTTTTGCTTTTTGTATTTTGTTTTT